AATGCTTCTTTCCAATTTTGAGTTGCTCTTATTTCTGTAATTTCACCCAACAACAATCCTGATGACACCCTGCTGCGTTGTTGCACAGAAATTTCACTTGACTGACTTGAACAGCAACAAGATTTTAAAGAGGGGTCGGATTGGAGTTTTTTTATTTGAAATTTAAAATTGAAAAAGTTTTCCTGTGAAGTCCTGCATGTGAATATTCAGACTTTGAACCATCAAAGCCAAATCAAGCGTTTAACACACTGTGTGTGTGTGTGCACACACGCACACGCGCGCGCACACACACACACACACACACACACACACACACACACTGGTGGATTTGAAAACTTGGTCTTTATTCTGTGGTGAAAGATCAGAAGGTCATGCAGGTGTTTTGTTGGATGTGAGGCGATAACGAGTCTACAAAGAACTAACGACCTCGCTGTCTTTGCATGTCTCTTTTTAATTAACTACCTTATTTAGATGTGACCTTTTACTAGAAACAGCAGCAACGCAAGAAAACATCCTAACTTTGCAGCAGAGAGAAAATGAAGGCACTGCAGAGGAATGGATAGATGAAACATTTTTTGGGGTGACAGGGTCAAGTTGGGTTAATAAAATCCTCGGAGGGTGCAGGCTGTGCTTTTTCAGGTCCTTTGGGAAAAAAGAGTCATGTTTATGGTTTGAGGTAAGGACTCATCTTGCAATTCCTGTGAGCTACAGCCTCCACAGTTTGACAAGATGAAAGAGTTCAAGCAGCGGTGACCCGACTGCTCTGCAGCCTATTCTTTATCAAAAAATTCGAAACGCTCGACTGGTGTCGCTGGAGCTTTAAACACGAGGCTCAAATCCACATGTTGTAACGAATCTGAAATTCTGTCAGCAGGTGGAGGAGATCAGAGATACAGACATTGATAAGAGCAACACTTCCTGCAGAATACAGGGGAACATCTGATGTTTTTACATTTTTGTACAACAAGAAAAATGCGTTGCAGCTTTATGATAGACCAAGCACAAACTCATGATGAAGAAACATTAGCAGCTCTTTTTGATGACTCAGCTATCAGAGATCTGAGTTTCTGTCGAGGTGTTGAACAAATAATCATAAAAAGTAGAAGTATTTCACAAATTGGAGGGAATTGCTGTTTTACAGTTTTGTTTTTGAACTTTTGTAACAGAGGACATTTTGGTTAAAAAATGGAATTTGAGGAGAATAGGTCAATGTTCTATTTGTAGAAAGGCTGTCAAGAGCTTCCCTTTCCCTAGAAAATGTGACATCGCAGCAGCAGAAATAAACCCATAGTGTTGTCTGAACAGGAAGAATGACATGCTCATACATGTAATCTGTGATAGTAAGATGTATCACAAATTCATGTTAGTTTGGAAAATTGGATGATGGTAAATGGCCTGTGTTTGCCTTCCAGGGTCCTGGGACCCCCAAGGCGGTTTACAACACAATCAGTCATTCATCCATTCACACCCTACTGTAGCCACAGCTGTCCTAGGGCACACTGACAGAGGAGTGTCTGCCGTACATGGGTGCCACCGATCCCTCCAAACACCACCAGCAGGTAAGACGGGTTAAGTGTCTTGCGCAAGGACACAACAACAGCAACAGACTGAGTAGGGCTCGAACCTGCAACCTTCCAATTATGGGGCGAGCACTTAACTCCTGTGCCACCGTCGCCCCACGTAAGTTCCTGCTTGTTGCTTGGCATCTCATTAAAAACTCTTGAAAACTACACGGTGTTTGATATTTAAAGGCGCTGTTCATTGAAAAGCCTTTTTTATGATAATTTCTGATTATAATTGGTCACCCTGAGTTTTTCACGCTGGCTGAACATGTAAACAACCTCCTACACCTATCTCCGTTATATTCACAGATCTACATCACACTGTCACTTCATGTTCATGGACTCACCCATTTTGATTTGGGATGAGGTAGGCTGTTGTTGGTTTAGCATCCAGTAGACTCCAGAGAAGCCTCTGTTAGTGGCAGCTAACCGTTAGCATTAGCAACCACCAGATGGCAGATGCTCCTCCAGGGTTGTGTTGTGTGTGGAGATAAAACATCAGCGTTGCAAGTCAGTGATAGAGTCACATTGCTGTTATCCAATCAGAGGAAAGAGGTCCAAATATCAGGAAATCAGATTCCAAAATATGCCATGGGAAGGTACTTTCTCCAGCTGACTTCTCGCTGTTGACACAGACGCTTCTGTGCTCTTCCCAGAACGACTTACAAGGCATTCATTACTCCTAGAGACCACGGCAAATGTATTGATTAAACGAGTGATCCACACCTTTAAATCTCTTTGTTGGTTTTATTGCAGCTCTCTTGTGTTTTAGATACGGTCTAATTAAGTGTGATTGAAATATGTTTTATAGTGTTGTTTAATAACCTTTTTCATAGAATTTTTGAGCTGATATTCTGCTTCAAAACTTCTGGATCTGGAATCATGCGGTCACCATTCATTCAAAAATCCCATCTAGAGTAAAATGGATGTCAGCTTTACATTGGATCTCTAACTAATCTTCAGGTTTCGGATCACATGAAAGCAACGATCTTGATGGTTTACATTAGACAATCCTGACTGAGAAACTCTGCCTATTTACCTGCAAAAATGACAACTAAGAGGTAAAGGTGGTATTTTGTAAACAGCATCAAGGCCCAGAAGGGCTCAGATTTCAAATAAAAAATATTTATGAAGAAATGACTGTAGGATTAATGAAGCAGGACAACAGGCTCTCTAACACCTCGGAAGTGGATGGCAACAAATTCATGTCACAGCTTCCACTGCTGTAGCCGACAGCTGAGGACACAAACCAGGTGTTAGGATCCAAATGTTTTCAAATTTCGTCTGGCTGTGAGATGTGTGAGGTGCTTGCTCTCTGATGGGAAGATCTGTCATTTAAAGTTTACACTGTGGATGTCCTGGCCTTTGTCCTGCTGCGGGCTGGGCCCCCCACCGGTATGTTACTGTCTGCCTCCAGAGGACAGTGGACCGTAATCCTCACGTCTAAACAGACAGCCCCAGAGTGTTTGTTCTGGTTCTTTGTAAAAGTTTGACAGAATTACAAAGGAGGTGACTTAAAGCTGCAAATGTGAGAATTGGGTAGAAGATTCGGACATTTAAATCATCGGTTATAATTACAGTTACTGATGTCTAGGTTGCTGAATCTGTTGTAAATACTTTTAAATATATTTTACTATTAAACAGTTTTATATTTAAAATCTGGAATTAGTTTTTCACTTTTTTCAAATGTAAGACACTGAGACAGAAGATACCTGTAAGGAGAGTTTCACCTCTTGTGATTTATTTTAGGTGTCTTTTGTTTTATTTAGTCAAATGAAGAACTGAAATATGAGTTTTTGCTTTAAATACCCTATGATGAATCTGTATGCCACAGCTGCCTTACACACTGTTGTATTGCTGGATGTTTGCTGCCACCTTCTGGTCATTAAAAGCAAGTCAGCATGGTTCAAACTGCTTCCAGAGACTAGTGAGATAGGCCAGTAATATAAAATAAATGTAAAATCACACTTATGGTCTATATTTACTGTCACTGGTCGCAGCATCTTCCCGTATTTGTTTGATGACCATTAGGTGGCAGCAGAGTGATGGAACATTAGCAAGGTGTGTGTGTGTGTGTGTGTGTGTGTGTGTGTGTGTGTGTGTGTGTGTGTGTGTGTGTGTGTGTGTGTGTGTGTGTGAGAGAAAGAGGGAGATGGAGAAAAACATGAACTCCAAATTTCTCTGAGCGATGATGGTGGGCATTGATGTCTTATAGAGGTTAGTGCCGGGCGACATGGCCTAGAATCAATATCGTGACATACTGAGGATTTCACCTGGATAACGATAAATGGACGATAATTACAGGTATGCGCAGAAACAAAAGTTTTCTACTAGATGGGGCCGTCACATGTATTACATTAAATCACATTTTTACATGACTCAAGGTTGTATAGGGCATGAACTTTGCCAACATACACACATTTTTTCACGTTTTATTATCATATTTATTGACATGGGGAAAATTATCTCGATAAGAGTCAGAAATTTTGATGACGATAAATTTTTCCATTTCTCGCACAGCCCTATAGAGGCACACAATCACTATTCTTACAATTCTCTTGTTTATTTTCAAATAGTCTGATTTGAGTACACTGTGGGTGGGTTAAATGTTCTTGTATGTAATTCATTAAGGGAACTTTATTTGCACAGTACTAAGAGAATGAGGCCGCCATAAAAACATTTATGACCATGCTGAGTAAATAAAAAACTGTTTACGCCAGGTATGCTGTCGATGGCTGACTCGTGAAAGTCTGAACCCATGTTAAAAAATAAAAGTGACCTAAATAAAATAAACCAACGAAGAGCAGAAGAGAAGCTTTGTCAAGAAGAAAAACGATTTAAGGTCAGTATGTCTACTCAACTGTGTGGATTGTTCAAAGGTTTGGTTTGTTATCAGCTGCTTAGTTTATCTAATCACATTCATGGTAGAATCAGATTTAAAAATCTTTAATGCTTAAAAGCATACTTTAAAAGTTATGTTAGGAAAACAACAGAACATTTCCATAAATAAAGTTTTAAAAAGATGTTCATCTACTTTTTGGTATAGTTAAAATGCTTGCTTTTTTGTTTATTTAACGGAATTAATAAATTATATAATAAAATATTTTATGATTGTTAGTATATAACAATGAACTATTAATTTAGTTGTTTTAGAGATTGTCAGAGGAGTGGACTCGAGTCAGACTTGAGTCCTTATTTTAATTACTTCTGACTTGACTCGATAAAATCTATAAAGATGACTTGACTCGGACTTGAACGCCAGTGACTTACGACTTGACTCGACTTGCATCTGTTGACTTGATGATGACTTGAGCGTATTTGATATTTTAGCACAAAAGTGGCACGACATGGACAAAAATCATAAATCATTCTTCGTTCTGGGTTTGATCTTGTTCTGCTAAATGCAGCAGCACTTTGTTTATAATCAGTTTCTGCTTGTTTGAGCAAATAAATGAAGCTTTAAGAAGCTTTATTTCTGGAATTTATTTATTATCATTGTCATTAAATTGAAGTTAGACAGATGACTTGATATGACTTGAAAATTAAAAGTTAAAGACTTGGGCTTGACTTGGACTTCCACATCATTGACTTTGGACTCGACTTGGACTTGGTTGTCTTTGACTTGGACTTGACTCGAGACTTGACTGGAAAGACTGGTGACTTACTTGTGACTTGCAAAGCAGTAACTTGGTCACACCTCTGGAGATTGTTGTGGAAATTAAAGGTGTCCAGTATGCAGTGCTGTTGCTTACCTGAGGGTGACAGCATTGTAGCTTTGCACATAATGTTTTGTTTTTGTGTATTTGACGCTCTTCTTTTGTCTTATGGTTTTTTATATAGACAGTGAGCTGACTGAATGTGATCTAACACATAACAGTCTAAATTCTACCCTTAAATCAAATCATAAAATAGGTGCGTGGGTTTCCTCCGGGTACTCCGGTTTCCCCCACAGATCACAACATGCCCTATAGGTTATAAATTGTAAGTCGCTTTGGATTAAAGCGTCTGCTAAATGAATAAACATAAACATAAACATAGGTACAAAGGCCGGTTTTGATTCTTTTTCACATTAAACGAGTATTTTGCACTAGAATATATTTTTTTTACATTTACATTTTTGTTACATTTAGCCTAATAAAAAAATCACATCGATTTTTGCGACATTTAGAAAGACAAGATAATAAAATATTTGATCCACACACATAAGGTTCGCATCATTTGTACACGGCGCGTCAGTTCAATTGAAACCCGGTGGGAGAGTGTCAGCAGGGAGATGTGTCTGTTATTGTGTTAATACTGTAACACGATATACTGTAACAGAAACTACTGTTGTTAATATCTAAGAACGTTACTGAAAACAGAAACGCTACAATAATTAGAAATTGGACGTTTTTACTGCAGTTTTTGTAGGCACCGCAGCGACAGGTGCCCTGGAGAAAAGGAGCATACCCATACAGAAAAAAAATACCGGAACTTGGTGCGTAACTTCCGTTCCGCGAAGCTGGAAAATTGGCGCCGCAAAACATTTAATCAAAAGTGTTCAAATCCACCTGAGGGGTTGTCGTGGAGATGATGTAATTACCCGGACGTTTCTTTCGATGTTGTGGAGAGATGTGGAGAAACACAACAAACTGTGTTCCCGATGCGCGTAGTTAGCTAACGATGCTACCGGGGAGGTCCATCAGTTGACAACAGTTATTCCTCAAACTATCAAATCACTAATTTCTGGATTAAAAAGAATAATCGGGTTGCTGTTTATCACTATGAACAGGGCCAAGATTAAGAAGTCAAAGGTGAGTCTTAATAATACTAACAAACAGTTTAATACGATTTAATTCTTCTAACAGTGATGTTATTTCTGCAGAGGCGTAGTTAGAATATGTAAGGTTTGGGGGGCTTATTCATCTATTTTTTGCAAAAGTTTTAAGCCAAAACAAGTTTCTTTGTACTTTTTTAAGGTGCCAGACTTCGTTGTGGTCTTTTTTATTTTACAGTAATGTTTTGGTTCTCCATCTTAGTTATTGTATCTAAACTTTTTCTTTTCTGTTCTTGTTTGAAGTCTATTTTTTCAATGATCTTACAAAATGTGGAAGGAGTACTGCTTTACACTGAAACACAGATGCTCTATTTACATGTAAAACGGTGAATCTTTACACAAAAGCAAACATAGGCTTGTTATTCTCGTCCAGTTTGAGCAGATTTCATACAACCAGTCCTTTTGAATCATTGGTTTTTCAATAATATACATTTATTGGATGATGTTGATCCATTCTGTACTAGTTGGGAGGTTGGGTGTCATCCATTTAAGAGCTATGGGTTTCTAGTCAACAAGGATTCAGGAATGATAATTAACAGAGTTTAACTGAGTTATAGTTTTTAGATGTAGCTCTTCATCTCTGCTCTGAAATGTTTTATGTGTTGAACTCTGAAGCAACTCTTTTGGTTTATCTCCAAGTCCAGTTCCTCATGTGACAGTCTTGTGTTGTTTATCAGTTACTCCCAGGGCCATCTAGGGAGCAGCAGAATATTTCTTCCTTCTTTTTCTCCAAAAGCCAAAAGGTAAGCATTTTATTTTTCTACAACCTCTTTATGACATTGTTTTCACTTAAACCTGGACAAGTTAAAATAAAAAATAAATAAAAAAACACATATAAACAGCATTTAAATCTAAATCTATTGGGCAGGAAATCTGCACCCAGATATTTGTCTTTTTCTTTAATCCAAAATATTTTCTCTTACTTCAGTAACTCAAAAGGGACAAAATACACACGTTTTGTGGTTTTTGTCTTTTTTTCCTTTTTATATGTATTCATCCTCTACACTTTATCTTTATTAGACCACAGTCATCCCTCTGTGGGCACTAATTTCCTTTTTAAAAGTCACCAAATTATGATTTTCTTTATGTGACTTCATGTATTATTTCTCCTTTTTTATGTACATCTGTTTTTGTTTTTTATTTTAGGCTTCATCGTCCACAAAAGTGCCAATCACCAGTGACGCACTCACCAAGACCGATATTCAGACCAAAGATGGTGAAAGGCTGAACTCCCCATCAAAGAGGAGCATCCTTGGTGACCTGAAAAACCTCCTCCCCTCCTCCACGGATCTTCTCATCTCCGTACCCGAAACACCCAACAGTCAGATCAGGCTCTCCTCCTCCGGAGAGGAAGACCAGCTGAGCCCAGAGCCAGCTAGAGAGGTGGCACTCGGAGATAAAAACCGACACCTGTCCCCCATCTGTCGCAGCCCCAGAGCTAAAGGTCGAAAACTACGAAGAACCATGACCAAGGAGGGAGAAAGAACCAAGACAGAGGATGGTCTGTTTGGGCCTTTGAAGAGACTCTTCAGTCCTCCTGAGGAATCCCGCAATGCCAAGAGAGCAAGGAGTGCAGATGCTGTGATCCACTCTGCAGGGATCATCCTGAAGGGGAAGATGCCTAACCTCTCCAGTAACCAATCACCTGGCCCGCCTGAAAGGTCAGAAGGTCACAATGAAGGTAAACAAAATGTGACGTCTGTGAAATCAACAGAGGGAGAGAAAGAGCCACAGGAGGAGACAGACCAGGCAGATTCTGGTATTACTGAGATAAAAGCACCCGACCCAAAAACCCACAAAAACCTGGAGAGCTCCTTGGATAAGGATACGTGCACGATTACCACTCGTGCACATGAACCCGGTGCACCAAGTGACTCGCATCAACCAAAAGGAGGGGCGGTCCTAGAAACTACAGCAACACTTGAAACTTATGGAGACAAAGGTACCCCTCCAGATCAGGAACAAGCAAATACAGGTGTGCATCTTGTTATTATTACGATCAACTTTAGCCAAAGCTAAAAAAAAAAAAATGTATGTCTAATATAGGGATGCACCGATCGGCATTTGATCCCAAACGGCCGATAGCGCCCCTATCAGTTTTGATCGTAGTTTTCAAAATAGATCAAACCAGACAGACCATTTTAGATTAGGTTACATTTCCTTTATTCCCAGATTATGTAGTTTGTAGCACTCATTATAATGTTGTAGAAAATTTCTGGCCAATCCACGTGATCGGTATCGGTGATCAGCATTCTTTGATATCGGTATCGGTGATCGGCAGCAAAAAACCTGATCGGTGCATCCCTAGTCTAATAGTAACATAATGTCTATAAAGCTGATTAAATGATGCGAGCATTACAGAAAGACTACTTATAAGGTGAGATTATTTCATATTTTCTCTTTATTTCATATAAAAACGGATAATCCAGGAGCGGCAGCCACGTGTCCCGTTGAAGAGGGGATTGAAGAGAGCTGGTTTTCTGACCAGATGGATGAAGATGCAGATGATAAATCCAAAAAATCTCTGTAAGAAATGCCTGAACTCACACAGTTTAGGTGCAGGAACTTCAGCATGGTGAGGAACATGTAATCTTCTCTTTACTGGTTTGTTTCTACAGTAAAGTCCCGGATCATGTGATTCTGTCTGGAGGCCTGAATAACCGCTACGTGGTTGTGGATGTGGAGGAGAGACCCGGTCGTAAATTACTGAGCATCTCCTGCTCCAGGTCTCTGTGTCCCACTGAGACCTGTCTGCTGACAGACGGATGGTAACGCCACCTCCTCGTCTGGTTAAACGGATCTTTTTGATTGATCACAAGCCTTCTGGTAGTTAGGACTTTGTGGCCGTTTCTTACCTTTTCAGGGAGACGACACCGGTTTGCCGAGGCGATGTGGTCCATCTGGAGGGCAGCCCTGATGGTGGTTGGCTGGTGAACCGGGAGCGCGGTTTCCTGGTTTTGCTGCCTGACAGCCTCGTCTCCGGTACCAGCATCTCTAATTCCATCCGCTGCATGAGACGAGCTGTGCTGGGAGACATGTTCAAGGTATTCACCGTTAATCCCTACCGTCATGTTGGGGTGTGTTCTTAAAATTTTTGATATTTTATTTATTTACTTTTTTGCCTTAATGCAGAGTTTTGACGGCGGCTCTAAGCAGATGCTCAACGGTACCATGGTCCACGAAGTCTTCCAGAGAGCGGCCACAGCTAAAGAGTTTTCTTTGCAGAAACTGTCCGAGCTGGCTGATGAAGCTCTGCACAGTCCTCGTTACCTGGGAGACATGTAGGTGGTTAGACTTCCCTGAGGAGTAAAAAGTGTTTCCCTCCACCAAAGTGTGGCTCGTGGTCCATTCGAGGCCCTCAGGAGTAATTTTTTGCAGCTCTCAACTGTAATTCATGAGGCAGAACATGAAAATGCAGATAAATTTAAATATTTTTGAAAGTGGAAAATATAAAGTACAACACAACATATGTGTGCTTTAATAACCACATTATTTAAAGTTGCTGTCAGTGTTATTTATTTTATCTGGTGGCTGACAAGCGTGTCACGTGATGACCTAAAAGCAACACCTCTCATGAACGCGCTTCTCTAGCCGACAAAACAGAACTAAAACACACTATTTTACTATTATTATGCTCATGTTATGCTGTGTTTTCATAAATTTATGTTTTTAAAACCTACTTGTCCACAAGAAAGGTTGCAACTATGCATCAACCGAGGTACATCCTTAAACACTCGAGCATGCTCTGTGACGTCTGTACGTAAGCGGTAGTCTAACGCTGTTGGTTCGTGCTGACTGGCGCTCAGTTCATATTGCATTGAGCTAAATGGGATAGGGGCGGGCTTAGCAAAAACAAAAGGAGTATATCCTACATTACATCACAGCACATAAGACGATCACTTTTATAGATTTCTGGAAAGTCATATAGAATTCCTGAAAGGGGAAAATTCCAGACAGCAGCTCTAATTTCATGGTAGAAAGTGTGGAGCTGAGAAAGGACCGGAATGTTTGGCTGACTGGAGAAAAAGAACCTTTTTTTAACTTTTGAAAAAATTAAAAGTCTAATCCGAATGACAAATTTTGAGTTGTCTGAACAAAGTGGTGCACAAAAGAGTAAAACTACCGGTACAGCCACTCGGTCCAAACCCAATTCTTCCCCAAGGGGTGGCTGGAAAATAGCTGTGTTTTGGATACGCCAAAGTCTAAACTCTCCAAAGGTTACCAAAAGGACCATTTTGGTGTGCCACCCCAAAACCTTCTTTGTTTGGCCACCCTTAAAAATGTTTCCGAGTGCGCCCCTGTGTAGCGGCTATTTCAGTGTCATAGTAATTTTCTACGCTTTAATTATGGCTGTTCATTCCACTTTGTAAAAACTGTAATAAATAAATAAATAAATCAAATATAAAGTTCTGAGAGTGGAAAAAAAAAATCAGAGAATGAACAAATAAAGATTTGAACATTTTTTATAACTGAACTGAAATAAAATTTTCGAGCTGAAAGAAAACACTTTTTTTTCACGTACATTTTTTATGTTTTTGGGTTTTTCACATTTTCAGTTTAAAAGCTGGCATTCAGCTTCAGTTTTAACTTTTTCAATTTCAAACATTTTTTCCCACAATCCAAACTTTATGGCCCTGCCTCGGGTCCATAGAAACTATTTACTCATAACTCTTTGTTTATTAATTTATTTTTTGTTGCAAATAAAAAATAAAAATCTATTTTCAAACAAGAAATCACAATATTTTCTCTTTTTTTGTTTTAAATCTCATTTTTTGTGCTTCATAAACTCTTTAAACTTGGCAATTTTGGCTCAAGTCTATAAACATTTTGTTGTAAATGACATTAATAATGGTGAATAACTAACTTATCACTAGGATTGTGAACTTTTGCTTCTTTGCTGGTGATTTTTGCACATTTAGCCGTATTTGTGTTTGCAGGTACTCTTTAGGTGTGAGTCAGGAGGAAATTAAGCAGGAGCTGCATGAGTACTTACCCTCACTGGAACACTGGGCCAACGAACACCTCTGCCCTACCAACCCTAAAGCCATCAGCCTTAAAACGTTGGTACAAGTCTTTCATCAGCGCTGAGTGGGAATAGAATCAGTTTGAAATGTCCTGACCTTTGACCTCCTAACGAGCTGATTGTCTCCCAGCAGCCAGGGCCAGGACTCGGCTTCTGTCTTCACAGTGAGTGAGCTGGCAGACATAGAGGAGAACGTCTGGTCCCCCAGATTTGGCCTCAAAGGGAAAATAGACGTGACAGCTAAAGTTCAGATCCAACGAGCGCCAAACAGCAGCCGCAGAATTCCTGAGGAGAAAACCATCCCTCTGGAGCTAAAAACGGGAAAAGAGTCAAACTCCATAGAGCACCGCAGTCAGGTTGGTGGACTCTCGTCGGTAATTTATTGTTATTTAAAGTCTGGTTAATGTGGTTTTTGTGCATCTATTTACAGGTAATTCTGTATACTCTGATGAGCAAGGAAAGATACAATCCTGTCGTCGGCCTTCTTCTTTACCTCAAGACTGGAAACATGCACCCGGTCGCAGCCGGTCACATGGACCACCGAGGTACCGGGAGCCCAGATCTGTCTGATTCCCTTGGAAGCTGTCTCACATATCGGCTGCTGCAACCTTAATACGATAAAACTTTGTTTTCCCAGAGCTGCTGAAGCTGAGGAACACTTTGGTTCGTCACATCAGCAGCTGTGTGGAGAAGGCGGCTGATCAAAGCCGCCTTTCCAGACTTCCTGACATCCTGACGGACAGACAGACCTGCAAGTACTGCCCTCAAAGGCTGAGCTGTGCTTTATATGAAAGGTAAACAGGAAATTTACTTTTTCTGCTCTCTCCTGTCGGTTGTATTTGTGTTGGATCATGTGCCTTCATCCGCGTTTCAGAGCAGTGGATACGAGCTCTGCAGATGCCAGCGAGGAGGTTGTGCGTACTTTTCTTCAGCAGGAGACAGGTCACCTGACTCTGCCTCATCTGAGCTACTTCTCTCATTGGCTGCTGCTCTGCTGCCTGGAGGCGTCCACCATGGAGGCTAAGAATGGCCGAAAGCGTGTGTGGCTGCAGTCGGTTGAGGAGAGGTGCCGGATAAAGCTGGTTTTAAAACTTAAATAAAATCGAGCGCAGTAAAATATTTTTGTTTTAGTGAGAAGACGGGCAACTGTGTGGGGAATCTGCAGCTCAGCGGCCCGGTGGGGCTCCAGTCCGACGGTGTCTTCCTGCATCGTTTCCAGCGCAGCAGCGTAGCCTCCCAGCAGGGCGTGACCAGATACGGTCTGACCGGCGGAGATCGCATTGTCGTTAGCGATCAGGAAGGGCGCTTTATCGGCTTGGCGACCGGGTACCTCTGTGAGGTCAGCAGAACATCAGTCAGCTGCACTCTGGACCGGTAACAGCAGATTCAAATGTTTCTGTTATTAGAGATTAGAAAAAATGTAATAATATATCTGCATTTTTGTGGTTTTTAACTTTAACAGAGACCTGACAAAGTTCAGCAGGATGTTTTTTCGACTGGATGGTGATGAGGGAGTGGTGGGCCTCAGCACGCATCTCAGTAATCTCTCCAGACTGATGGAAAACAGCCAGAACAGGCAGGAACTGGGAATTATGAAGATTCAACTGGTTCATGGAAACTTATAAGATGGTCCTTTTGTTTTAAAATGGTTTAATGTTTGTTTTAATGGCTTTGTGCAGCGAGCGGCTGAGGGAGCTGGTTGTTGACCTTCGTTCTCCAGAGTTCATCACCAACCTCAGCTCTGTTCTGCCCAGAGAGGCTAAAGACGCCGTAGCCAACATCCTCAAAGGTCAAGAAGCTTTTTTTTGTCTTTTTTTCGGTTTGCTCTGTTTTCATTGGAGCTAAATAAGCTGAATTACGTTCACACAGGTCTGAACAAACCACAGAAACAGGCCATGAAGAAGGTTTTATTATCCAAAGATTATACACTGATCGTTGGAATGCCTGGCACCGGTAAAACCACAACGATCTGCACCCTGGTGAAGCTGGAGCAGAGCAAAAATGACGGTTCTGTAGAATAAACCAGCACACTGACACGGTTTGCTCCCAGGTTCGGATCCTGCACGCGTGTGGCTTCAACGTGCTGCTGACCAGCTACACCCACTCCGCTGTCGACAACATCCTGCTGAAGCTCAAACGTTTCCGGGTCGGCTTCCTGCGTCTGGGGCAGGGACAGAAGGTCCGCCTCCATCTGATGTAGCCTATAAATCCCTGTTTTGTCATCTAAAAGCTACGTTTGGTCTGACTCCTGTTTTTTCAGGTTCATCCTGAGATCCTGCCATACACGGAGGAAAGTGTGAGGAAGAAGAGGGACGTTAAAACGCTCTCAGACCTGGAGCAGCTTTATAACAAAGAGGTGAGGAGTTTTATTGAAGTTTCAGCTTGATTCAAAATGGTTTTCTTTAACTTTAAATAAAAACATTTTTTTTCCAGCTGGTGGTAGCGACCACCTGCATGGGCATCAAGCATCCGATCTTCACACGTCGGCGGTTTGACTTCTGCATCGTTGACGAGGCGTCACAGATCAGCCAGCCCATCTGCCTCGGACCGCTCTTCTACGCCCGGAGGTTTGTCCTGGTCGGAGACCACCAGCAGCTGCCGCCGATCGTTCAGAACCACGAAGCCAGGTCTGTTTGTGTCTGAGCGCGATGCCGATGCGGTTTCCACCGGAACTGAAGCGTTATTCTGCTGTGAGGGGTCCACCAGTGCTTTATGTTGCAGTTATCCCTGTTGTTTCCCTTCAGGACACTTGGTATGGACGAGAGTCTGTTTAAGAGATTAGAGCTCCACGGTGATGCCGTGGTTCAGCTCAACGTCCAGTATCGGATGAACAGGTAACTGATGCCTCTGATTCATTAGAGCTCCTCCTGCAAACCAGGTTATAACAGAGGAGAAAATCCTGTTTGAATGTTCTCTTCTGATTCTGATACTGTTCATGATGCTGTAAATTTGACCTAAACAGGCAGATCATGTCCCTGAGTAATTCTCTGATGTACGACGGCCGGCTGGAGTGTGGATCGGAGAGAACGGCCACAGCTCTGCTCACGCTGCCCTTGCTGCTCCCCGTCCAGTCGGAGCTTCTTTCCTTCTCTCAGTCCCATCCGGAGCTCGACCTGTCCTGGTTACAGGCCACGCTACTGCCCAGCAATCCTGTCTGCTTCCTGGACTCCTCGCTGGTTGGTAGATTTTACAACTAATTCATAAAGTTGTATATCAGGAGATTGTTGAGCTGCCGAGGCTGAGGGAGACCTTGTTAAAGTTCAGACCATGTCTGATCCGTAGTCCTCTTCCCACTGCAGGTTCCTGCTCTGGAATCAGTGGAACAGGGAGGAGTGAGCAATCATACTGAAGCTGCTCTCGTCCACACGCTGCTCTCTCTTCTGATAAAGGTTCGTGTGCCTCTAAGTTATACCTCCTTAACCATTTCTGGTGGGACCTCTAGCTCTTTGCTCTCGTTTTTAGGCCGGGTGTAAGGCCGGTGACATCGGAGTCATCGCCCCCTACAGGCAGCAGCTGAAGACAATCTCCGCTCTGCTTCAGTCTCCCGCTTTCACCGAAGTAGAGGTGAACACGGTGGACCGGTACCAAGGGCGGGACAAAAGTCTGATCGTTCTGTCGTTTGTTAGGAGCACCGCAGAAGAAGGAAACGTAAATATTTCTGTTCCTGTTCTTTGTGCGTCTTCTCCTGCGTAAACGATGTCGATCTGACCTGAACGGTCTTCTGTCGGTCTGATTCCAGCTGGGGGAGCTGCTGAAGGACTGGCGTCGCCTGAATGTGGCCATCACCAGAGCCAAGCACAAGCTGCTGATGGTGGGCTCTGCCACAACGCTGCGCCGCTACTCGCCTGTAGAGAAACTAATCGACCATCTCCAGCAGGAGAACATGATATCCTTCATTTGTTATCTGAAAATGTAGAATTTAATGAATGATTAGCGACCGATTAGCTGCAAACACAAAAACGGCTAACAGATCAATCAAGATCTAATGATTATGCTTCAGATTATACATTATTTTCAAGATTTGACCAATCAGATAATCCTAATTTAAGTCATCACATTTAATGTTTTTCATGAGAACTTCTTTAGCGATGCGTTTTTTGTGCTGATTGTTTCCTGAACTTTAATCACATCATCCAGCTTCCGCCTGCAGCCCACAAGGCCTTACCCAGCATGCACCTCTGAGGAAGGTCAGAGGTCAGGGGCATGTTTTTCACCACCCGTTCATCTCATAATGAAGGAGCTGTGGCTTTGTGGCTCAGATTTAAATTAATAACTACAATTCTGGTGTTGCACTAAAATGTTAATTCAAAGAGCCTCTTAAATCTTTCTAACTGACAAATGGTACGATGCGACCAAATACATTTTTTACTTCATTTAAACCTTTTGCTCTCAGCCTGTTTACACAGATTTACACTTGAAACGGTCGTAACCTTTACTAGGAGCCGGTTTTATCAGCTGCTGTTTGCTCATACACTGACAACATTTACGTTGATTATCATTACTTTTCTCAGGCAGCAAGTTGGTTTCACCATCCTACAAGTCAGATTAGCTCGTGTTTCTAAATGTCTCGACGAAGGACCAAAAACTTTACCTCACGCAGAATGATTAGAAATATCTACACCTCTCGACCGTTTCTGGGCTGCGGTGCGTTTGAAGAAAAGCCTATAAGATTTTTGCATTAAAACAATCTCACCTGGAATTAATCTGGTAAAATCAGTCTACAACTGCTGAGACAAACCTCAGCTTTTTTTTAATGTTTTTTATTAACAGTGCATATGTGTTGTAGCTCAGAAGCTAATGTCAAACGAAATACTTGCATTACAGTTGTGCAGAATTTGCAGGATAACTGTGGAGGTGCTGAAATTTACAGTAAAGAACAAGTTGTACTTTTTAATTTTAATAAACCGACGTTAACTTTTAGATGTGAATTTTTTCATGAAAACTGATTTTATGGGTTTTTTGTTTGTTTTCATACTGTAATTTTTTGCTGTTATAATGTGAATAAATAATGATGATCCAAAGAGAGCGTGCTGTGCATGGTTGGTTCTGGTGTTTCTTTACTAGACTGGTTTGAACAGGATGTTTTTATTTATGTGTCACATGTCACACACGGAACGTCTCTGCAGCTACAGTCTGATTATTCCCTGCAGCACGGTGACGACTTCTCCTCCGATGTTGATCCTTCCATCATCTCTCACTTCAAGTTCCAGTTCTCCACCTCGGCTGGAGCACTGGTAAGCTGCACAAACACCAGAGAGAGGGTCAGTGGTGGGTTACAGGGCATGATGATGTTCTGCTTTTCATTCAAGGAGCTTCAAATCAGAGAAATGCAGAATAGCAACCTAATTATCTAGTGAGGGCTTCTTTTTTAAAATATTGTGACTTAAGTGTTTTTTTTTAAGTTTGCGGTTGTTAAGCATGGCTTTTAAGATCCTGCTAGAAAGTTTAAATCAGGTCAAGGTTAGAACTAAACCAGGAAGGAGTCCACTACCTGGAGCCACAAGTGGGTGATTTGGACTTTCATCAACGGCTCACAGGTTTCTCCAAAATTTGTTTTATATCTAGATAAAATGTAAAAATAGAGATTTACACATGTTTTCAGTTTTTAACAGAAGAATATGTTTGAATTTGTACAAAAGACTCGCACCAAGAGCGCCTGTACTATTTTTAGATGATTCTTTTTACATGATTTTCCACAAATAACATTCCATAGAAAAACATCATTTCTCTTTTTGAAAACATTTTATTTATTTCTTAAATACCTAATAATAGAAGTCGAATGGTGTTTTTATTTTTTTCCCCAAAAATGTCGAATCGTTTTATGGGAGAGGGGAAAAAAGATTACTGATTTTAATCTCAGAATTCTATGGAAAAATAATTTTCCCCTCTGGCCCAAATATTTTTCTGTAATATTTTTTCCAAATTTAAAAATTATCTTTCAAAAAATATTCACAGCTGTTGTGGCTTTAAACATGGTTTATTTCAGCGCCCGAGGGGACAAATGGCTCTTTGTGTTGTAAAGGTAGCAGACGCCTGAACTAGACCGTATGAACAACCTGATCTCTTTAATTATTATCCTTTAGCTAACTATTCCAGCTCAGGGTGATGTTTACATCTTCTGATGTGCTCCACTTAGTGCTATTACACATTCAACATTTGGGTTTTTTTTTTACTTTAAAAGCCATCTTGCCAAATTCAGTCCTGCTCAGACAAATCTAAATTCTTCAGAGCAGCTAATGTTGAAAAATCCTGCTTTTATTGGCCTGCTCACACTTTCCTTTTTGGCTTCTCAATTATTTCAGAGTTTACTTTGTCATGTGTGTGTATGCGCTCAGCATGGGCTTCCTTGGCATAGCAGGAAGGTTCTTTATAAGTGAATGAATGAACAAATGAACTTACCCAGCATTTTATTTTTTCCAAGTTCTTTGGACCAGTAGCTGCCCAGGATCGTGTGTGTTGATCCTACAAGGACAGAGAATCCACACGAGAGTAGTTTTTACCAGAAACGAAGCAAAGAAGCTGTAACTACATTGTCTTTTCTCTATGGGTGTCTCCTTTTTGTGTGTGAAAGATTACCAGAGCAGGAATACAACAAATGTGTCCCTCTTCAGATGATGAAAACTATAATTGGTTCAGTGATTGTGATCACATTACCTGTGACTGGATCTTCTGGGATCCCAACCCAGGGAGCAAAGTTTCTGGAATAGAAGTCGTATCCTGGCTGACTGTCTGGTGCACCTGTTTTCAGATCAGATAGAAGTTTGTTTAGTGGCTGAAATCCTCTGCAAGTCTCCACAGCTCCTCCTCTAGCTGCATTACACTCTCCTGGCTACCTTTCATGGTGACTGTTATTCCTTGCACTCTTCCTTTCGTATCGATGCCCAGAATCGCGGCGGGGTCGACATTCAGACCGGTTAGCACAGAACTAAAGATCAAACGCTTGTTTAGTTATGTTTAGAGAAATTAGAGGAACTTGTGATTTTTCACTATTTCAGATGTCTTAATACAAACATCAGAGGACTCAAAAACTGTTTACAAAGCCAACTTTCTTTGGATGACCTGTCACAGCTGTCAGACAGTCGAATCATCAACTCCTTCATGTTTGTGCTCAGAAAGACGTCCTGAACTGGGAGGGTTCCAACTGTCAACTGTAACACACACCCACACACACAGTAAACAAACTGACCACACTGAGGTAAATTGTCACTATGTATACGTATTTTATTTCTTACCCTTATAATGTCCTGAAAGTCTTTGGAATCCTGAGATTAACAAGAAGAGCCGTTTCGAGTTAGTAATTTTTTTACATCTAAGTAGTTCAAAAATCTCTGTTTTCTCCTGAGATGTTTTGCAGCGATTTTGCTTGAAAATAGAAGAATCTTAATTAGTTAAAGAGCAAGTCACCCCCTACCAGAGTCTTACTCCACTCCCACTTCCTTTTTGAAAACTGCAACAAATGATGTTGCCTGGCAGACCGAGAGGGCAGAGCTGCTAACAAACACACACACACACACACACACACACACACACACACACACACACACACACACACACACACACACACACACACACACACACAGGCTCACGACATTGTGACATAATGTACCAGCTAACATCATAGTGTACCTCTTGGCCAATGGCAGATTAAAATTCAAATGCAAAGTTTTGACCTGAAGACGGCACAACACCGAAAGTTTTAGGCAGAATATTTAAAATTTAACTAAGATGCACTAAAGTGCACATGATCGACGGCATACGTGTGTTCAGCACGATTAGACACTCATTTATATAGTTTATCAGCAAAAATATTAAATTTGGGGGTGACTTGCTGTTTAAGCAAAAATCTTATTTTTATTAATCTGTCAGTTTATTCTTTAACTTAATTCTAATAAAATACATCAATAATGCAACTATACAATACACTGGTTAAACAAGGAGTGTGTGTGTGTGTGTGTGTGTGCGTGCTCTGCACCACTTGGGTGGGCGGGTTGAGAGGAAAGTCCATGAGATATCCATCCTTTTTCTTCGAGACGGCCAGGTCTCCGCTCCTCGTCTCAAACACCAGCGTTGGGTTGATGTTTTCTGAAGGAGACAAGACACTTTCTGTTTTCTTGCAAACCTGCAACATTCTCAGCACCGAAGCCTCAAATTTTCCCAAATAATTAACACCCAAGTCTTCACCTAATTCTTTTCAATTCAAGTTTATTTATATAGCGCCAAATCACGACAACAGTCGTCTCAAGGCGCTTCGCATAGTAAACATTTCAATACAATTCAGTTCATTAAGACATTCAGTAAAAAGTTTCCTATAAGGAATCCAGCAAATTGCATCAAGAGTGCATGAATGAGAAAAATGTAATTTATAATATAAGTCAGATACATATAACATAAATATAATTTACTCAGATCCACAACATTTACTTGGGCCTTCAAATAAAACGTTTTTCTTTTTTCATTCCAGCTGCTGTTTTGGCACAATAAGATTAAACATTTGTTCAGAAAAAGGCTTTTTTTTATCATTATTAAGGAATGGTTCAGATAAACATAACTATAGCATCAATTTTCACTGTAATGCCTTTTAAAACAACACAAAGCTACACCTGACTGGCAGTTGATTATAAATGTAATAGGTATTGGGGCATAAGATACTACCATAGGTCATGATATCTTTTAACTCTGTGATTTCTGATAAATGTGCAAAAATACCTTGTGCTATTACAACCTGTTATAAATTTTTCTACATATAAAGTTATATCTGTGTGTCATATATTAGAGAGAGAGCTAGCAATCTATTAGATCACCAGTAACAGTTTTTCTGTTACAGAAATAATGTAGGGCAACTTTTAGTACCATTTGACTGAAAACCACTGCAAAAACTTAGACAAAAAACTTCTGAACCTATTTTATGTTTTTCTGTTTGCAAATTCGATTTTAAAAAAACCTGCTTGGCAGCCAGTTGGGACATTTCTTGGTCCCAACTCAAAAGCATTACATATAAAAACCACATACACACACACACACACACTTTCCATTCACACTCTCATTGTCAGTAATCATTTGAGAAACTGATGTAGTAACATTTCCCTTTTAGTCCTGCTAAAAAAGGAAATATTCTTAGGTCCACGGTAATAGATTTAATAAATTCCCTCTATCTCTCCATCCATCAAACATCCATCAGTCACTGTCACAATCTTTCTGTGGTAGTGTTCTGTTCATGCGGTCACATGACATTCTCAGCCAATCGGCATGTTCCCAACTTACAGTGACCGGTGTTGTGCCATAAATCGACTCACTGCCAAAAAATGATTAGCTTAGTTTTTTCCAGTTCGGAAGTTGTTTTAAGTGTTGCTATTTGTCTTAAACGTTCACAATGAGGATATATTAATCCTTTTTGCAATATTTGCGATTGAAAGATGGTTTGTGGTAAGAACTGGCTTTCTTTATGTTACAGCCTTGATACTAAAAAATAAATAAACAATGTAAAATGGCGCCCTGTATTGAATGTAAACGTTGTATAAATGTAAATAAACAATTCTCCAGCGATTTGATTTTTTTCCCCTTCCTTTCTTTAGTGGCTAATCATTTTTTGGCAGCGAGTCAATTTATGGCACAACACCGGCAATGTGCGACAAAAACACAAGTTCCTATAACACTATATCTTACCAGAAATTACTAATGGTTGGGATTTTATGAATGAACATGGGAACCATAGGTAGCTGACAATATGACTGCTTCTGTTGCCATGTTGCCATGTGATCCACATCGATCTGAGCAACTTGGCCTGCATCATGATTCCAAAGATTTTTCATTCACCCGACTCCAGGAACCGCTCCAGTTTCACAGGATCCTGGAATAACCTGTGCTCGTGGCTTTTGGACACTTTTATAGTAGCCGGATAAAACAGGAATGCTTGGTAACCCGCTTGCCGAGCCTTTTCCATCACAAGATAGGATTTCCAACGAACCCGAGTTGCGACGCTGTAGTCAGCCGTGAAACGGGCCTCCTTTCCTTCTATCACCAGCGGTGAGTCCCTTGCAGCTTTCAGAATCCTTGCTCTGTCAATTTATCTCAGGCACATGAAAATCATGACCCTTGGCTTTGTCGCCTGGCTCCGATGTGATCCAATTCGATGCACTCTCATGACCTCTGGTAGAGCGTCTTTCAGAGTAGGGAACCAAAATGGGAGCTGGGTCATGATATATTGTAAAGCGTTTGCGTTCTCCTTTCGCTCACTGAGCCCATGCACAACAATATTATTCCGTCTGTTCCGATCCTCTATTTTGGCCAACTTTGTCTCCATTGTTGTCACAGTTTTGGACAGAACTTGAGACGACTGCTCCACTTTTTCCATGCGTGCCAACAAGTTTGTATTGGCTTACCTCAGCGCCTTTGTTTCTTCTTTGAGCGATAAGAAGTCTGCATGTAGTGACTCCAGGTGTTGCTCCAATCGAGCAAATGCTTCCTCTGCTTTTGCTCCGGCTTTAGCGAAGTGTTTCTCTAATGCTGCTTCATTTAGCAGGGTTAGGTTTTCTGAAGACGCCAAGGTTTCTGCCTTGGTCTCCGATTGTGGATTTCCTTTATTTCCTTTATTTCCTCGCGGCATATATAAAGTCCAAGTAACCTGTAAAGCAGTCAAATCTATGTATTTTACCGCAGTTTGAGGTCAGCTAATCCAGTAAGAGTACATACACGGACGACTTGTATATTAGATTTTAAACAGGAGGAGAACGCAGCTACCTCCAATCAGCCATCATCTTGGCCATGGCGGAGGTTGACTTCTGACTGTTTGAAAGTGTGAATGATGATGTCGAGCTCGGGCAGGCAGTTCGACTGTTTTATCAATCTTTCAAAGCGTCCCTGTAGACGTCTTGGTGCCTGGCTTCACTGAAGCTTCATAACACGCGTTTTGCAGACACTTGTTGACGCTTGTCATAAATTCACGGTGAGGTTTTTAACAGGGTTGGTGCCTGGATTTAGCTTTACCAATGGTAATGTAGGAGCTTTACAGTTGCTTAGTTAGTGTAAGGAGTTGCAAAACAGTAGCAAACCATTCCTTGGGGCAGTATCTGGAACTTAGCTGTCAGGGGAGAATAAGCTACCTGCATCTAAAGTCAATCCAAATGATTAGAATGAAACAGAATAAGATCACATCCATGTCAAATTCTCAGACCCATCAGGACACAAATAACTCTGAGTCGAAATCTGCTGCTGGGTTGTATTTTATTCTGGGACAGTCGATCTGTTGATCTAATAATTGTGCCACATTGGAACATTAGGATTATAAAAGACAGATGCGGACAGATTTGGTAAAGCACATTACAGTTTTATTGCCTCACACAAACAATGCCTTTTGTGTTCCACGCTGATGCTATGTTGAAGTCTTGCATTTGGCCAGCAGATGTCACTGATTTTATTGGGTTTGAAACGATTCACACTGGACCATTTCAAGATTTTCTTTATATTGTTCAGTAGTTTGGAAAGCTTTGGTATTTACGTCACTAGCTTTGGACAGGTGTCTTTTTACACAGGTAACAAGTTCTAACAGGTGCTGTTAGTACAGATAACAAGTGGCTGAAACTGGAGCTTCTTAAAGAACAGGTCTGTGAAGGCCAGAATTCTTGCTTGTTTGCAGGTGCTAAATACTTATTTTTTGCACCATTATACAAATGGATCCTTTTAAAATTTAACTATTTGATTTCTAGGATGTTTTTTACTTTCTGTCTCTTACAGTTGATGAATATTACAGACCTCTGTCATCTTTTAAGTGGGACATCTTGCACAATTGGTGGCTGCTAAATACCTTTTTGCAACCGTGTTTGATCAAAGCAACAAGGAACTGCTCCAGTGGTTCTGAAAAGCCGTCTGGACCTCCTGAGCCACAGGTTGCATACTCCTGGTCATTGCATGTGCATGTATTTTTAAAGTTTCTTACTTTTATGCTGGAACAGGACGGCTGCCGTTGCCAGGGTAGCGTGGCCACACAGATTCACTTCCACTGTGGGAGTAAACCACCGGAGGCAGAACCTTGATCCTGTAAATCACATCACTTTTTTATGTTCCAGTATACAAGAAGGGAACCAAAGTGCTCTAATCTTTGGAAATAAATAAACAAATAATATTCTTTAAAAGAAAATAAATTATTGGTTTATTTTATTTTTTTATTGTTAGAAGTTTTTTTAGCCTAGAAATTTAGACAGACCGTAGCAGGAGCAAAGCTAGAACCTCAGCAGACCCAAACAGTCGTGTGTATTGCCAATCAAAGAGCTCTACTGGTTTGGCGGGCGGGATGTTACTGTGAGCAAAACAACAAAGATGGCAGCAGCTTGTTTGAAACGACTTTCGCATCAACTTTGGACTACTTAGAATTGGGCTTTTCTTTGAGTCAGGAGCAGATAGACGTACTTAAGTTTATTTAGAATAAGGGTGTATTTGTGTCTTCTTCCAAGGTGTGTGCCCTGTTGACTGATATCCGTAGTGATGACGAGTACATAACGTTTGTGGTCCAATAGCATTTGGAGATTGTTTGAAAGACAACAATATATCAGAAGTGTTTTTAAAACCACATTATTGACTGTTAATCTGTCTAGTCTCACTCTCTGATGGAAGTGTCTATGTAGATGAGGTGCTCAAGCAAATCCATCTTAAACTCTGATTTTTAGCTCTCCCCAACACTTCTAATGATTTTACCTATAAAGATATTTCTAAGCATTTTCTGTAACCCTTTATCTTATGTTAAAAATCTAAAAATCAATCCCCCTGCTGCAAAACATTTGTTTCTGTTCTTTCTTCTTTTGGTGGGGGTGGGGTCATGTGAGCAGTTAGAGCAGATAAACCTACCAGAGGTGAAGGTGTCGGATGGATTGATGGGGGTGACAAAAGCTGTTTCTGATAGGTTCATCTCTGCTGCTATCTTCTGATACAAATCATCATTCAGCTCCTGTTACAAAGACAATAGGTCAATCACATGTGGTGCATGCACATGCTGTTTTCATGGTTGCTGCACAACAAGTAGTGAAAAAAATGAAGGACATAAACTGGTTTGAACTTGGACCAGATGTAGCTGTGATCAAAGGACTCCGCGGGACGTGCTCAGACAGCCGTGTTTGCTTTTGGTTTGAATCGGTCTCTAAAACTACTGAGTAAATGCCAGACACTTTTATTTGGTCCAGTTTAGTTGTGAAGCTCAACCTGCTGTGTCTAAGCATGAAAGTGTGTCTTTCTTATACAGGTGCTGGCCAGTAAATTAGAATATCATCAAAAGGTTGAAGATATTTCAGTAATTCCATTCAAAACGTGAAACTTGTACATTATATTCATGCAATGCACACAGACCAATGTATTTCCAATGTTCATTACATTTAAATTTGATATTCATAAGTGACAACTAATGAAAACTCCAAATTTGGTATCTCAAAAAATTAGAATATTCTGAAAAGGCTGAATATAGAAGACACCTGCTGCCACTCTAATCAGCTGATTTACTCAAAACACCTGCAAAGGCCTTTAAAAGGTCCCTCAGTCTTGTTTTGAAGGCACCACAATCATGGGGAAGACTTCTGACTTAACAGCTGTCCAAAAGACAATCATTGACACCTTGCACAAGGAGGGCAAGACACAAAAGGTGATTGCTAAAGAAGCTGGCTGTTCGCAGAGCTCTGTGTCCAAGCACATTAACAGACAGGCGAAGGGACGGAAAAAATGTGGTAGAAAAAAGTGTACAAGCTCTAGGGATAACCGCACCCTGCAGAGAATTGTGACGACAAACCCATTCAAAAATGTGGGGGAGATCCACAAAGAGTGGACTGCAGCTGGAGTCAGCGCTTCAAGAACCACCACGAGGAGACTCATGAAAGACATGGGATTCAGGTGTCGCATTCCGTGTGTCAAGCCACTCTTGAACAAGAAACAGCGCAAGAAGCGTCTCGCCTGGGCCAAGGACAAAAAGGACTGGACTGATGCTGAGTGGTCCAAAGTTATGTTTTCTGATGAAAGCAAGTTCTGCATTTCCTTTGGAAATCAAGGACCCAGAGTCTGGAGGAAGAGCGGAGAAGCACAGAATCCACGTTGCATGAGGTCCGGTGTAAAGTTTCCACCGTCAGTGATGGTGTGGGGTGCCATGTCATCTGCCGGTGTTGGCCCACTCTGTTTCCTGAGGTCCAGGGTCAATGCAGCCGTCTACCAGGAAGTTTTAGAGCACTTCATGCTTCCTGCTGCTGACCAACTTTATGGGGATGCAGACTTCACCTTTCAACAGGACTTGGCACCTGCACACAGTGCCAAAACCACCAGCACCTGGTTCAAGGACCATGGTATCCCTGTCCTTGATTGGCCCGCAAACTCGCCTGACCTTAACCCCATAGAAAATCTATGGGGTATTGTGAAGCGGAGGATGCAATACGCTAGACCCAACAATGCAGAGGAGCTGAAGACGACTATCAGAGCAACCTGGGCTCTCATAACACCTGAGCAGTGCCACAGACTGATCGAGTCCATGCCACGCCGCATTACTGCAGTTATTGAGGCAAAAGGAGCCCCGACTAAGTATTGAGTGCTATACATGCACATTCTTTTCATGTTCATTCTTTTCAGTTGGCCAACATTAGAGAAACAAACATTTTTTCATTGGCCCTTAGAATATTCTAATTTTCTGAGATACCAGATTTGATGTTTTCATTGGTTGTCACCTATAAATATCAAAATTAAACGTAATAAACATTGGAAATACATTGGTCTGTGTGCATTGCATGAATATAATGTACAAGTTTCACGTTTTGAATGGAATTACTGAAATATTTTCAACCTTTTGATGATATTCTAATTTACTGGCCAGCACCTGTAGATGTAAGATTCTTGCATGCGATTTTTCTAGAACCAAGCCTCATCGTGGGGCCCCTCGGCTGAGATTACGCAACACACTCAGTCCCACACACACTGATGTTACTCACGTGTGCAAGTGGACAGACAGCTGCAGGATTTCCCTTAAAGGGTAGATTTGTGAAGGAATCCATCGTAAAAACCTGGATCTCCATTGTTGTTAAACAGAAGGCAGCCTGTAGCAAAGGTAATCTGATGTTGAGTCCAGCAGCGCTGCTGTCCGTGGACTTTTCACACACACACACACCCCACCCCCTGCTTGGTTTTTCAATCTGAGCACAGCGTCACAACTACAGATTAGCTCTGTTAGCGCAGTATGATAAACAGTGACGTTACCTTTTTCATCAAAGCTGTGATTTCGTGGTTTGTCTCTGATTACATGCTTTGTATCTTAGTCTATAACTTTCAGTGGTCAGAGGGGGTGTGGTGATGAACCCAGAAGCAGCAGACATGAGCGTTTTATCCACCAATCACAGGATTTATTCTCCCGCACGGCCCCTGCTTTCTTTGCAACACACCCACATTGTAAAAACTTAAAATTGCATTTCTTATACTTTTCAGGCACCATTGAAAAATAATACGAATTTCAATATAAAGGTGAATCTACTTAAACCTTTTTATTACATATTTTTTACTGACTTTAACTCTTAAATGTAAATAACGATGATCCAAAGAGAGCGTGCTGTGCATGGTTGGTTCTGATGTTTCTTTATTAGACTGACTGGTTTGAACAGGATGTTTTTATTTATGTGTCACATATCACACACGGAACGTCTCTGCAGCTACAGTCTGATTATTCCCTGCAGCACGGTGACGACCTCTCCTCCGATGTTGATCCTTCCATCATCTCTCACTTCAAGTTCCAGTTCTCCACCTCGGCTGGAGCACTGGTAAGCTGCACAAACACCAGAGAGAGGGTCAGTGGTGGGTTACAGGGCATGATGATGTTCTGCTTTTCATTCAAGGAGCTTCAAATCAGTCTGAGGAATGCAGAATAGCAACGAGAGCTTCTTTAATATGGGCTTTCCAAGTTCCCACCAGAGTGTCAGGTCAAGGTTTGGATTTTTACTAGACCATATGAACAACTTGATCTTAGGCTAGTCTGCTGAGCTTTCTATTAAGGGGGCTGTAGCTAATTCTCCCAGCTCACTGAGGAGATTCAAATTTTCTGAAATGCTCCAGATTTTTTTTAAATCTTGTTTTAAAGGACTTTAACCCAGATGCAACTTCAAAATCATAATGCTGTAAATTTCTCCAGCTGACCCTTCAAAACAAAACATACCTGCTCAGTATTTTGCTAATTGTACACTAAGATGTCTTCATTTGGTAAGACAAAGTGAAATGTCAAAACTCCTGCTTTCATTGACCTGCTCACGTGTGCCGATCCTTAATAAGCAGCACCTGGATGTGAAGTCAGACACTAATTTGGCTTCACCCTTTTTGAAATAACACCAAGCTCTTCGTGTGCATTTCTTTTTATGACCAAGTGAGTGCCTGCTTTATTTCTTAGTCCTGATATGTAATCAATAACTTACCCAGCATTTTAGTTTTTCCAAGTTCTTTTGACCAGTAGCTACCCAGGATCGTGTGTGTTGACCCTACAAAGACACAAAAGAAGGTTTACTAGAAACGACTTTACTGCTTTAGTGCAAAGAAGCTGAAACTGATAGATCTAATCTCAATGGGTGTCTTGAGTGTTTGAATGAGTACAAGAACAAAAAAACAATCAATAAACGAACCCCCTTCAGATGCTGCAAACGGTTATTTTAGAAGCAGCGGTGATGGAGGTCATCTTACCGGTGACTGGATCCTCTGGGATCCCAAACCAGGGAGAAAAGTTTCTGGAATAGAAGTCGTATCCTGGCTGATGGTCTGCTGACCCTGTTTTCAGATATAAAAGAAGATGTTTAGCAGCTGAAGTCCTCAGCAAGCCTTCACATCTTCATGGTGTTCGATAGGATGAATAAAATAATATAGGATAGAATAAAAAGGGATTTAATTTTTCATAGGCAAAATGGATGCTGTAATCACAGTTTGCTATGGAAAAAAACCCACACTTAGTTAATTATGGGCAAAACATACAAAAAAACTGACAGATGGTGGAATAAAACATATTTTATGTACTTAAACTTGACATTTATTTTATGTTATTTTACATTTACACTGTCCATTTTTTGTCTGCTTATGTGGAGTTGGGCCACGGGGGCAGCAGCCTAAGCAGGGAGACTTCTCTCTCCCCAGCCACTTAGGACAGCTCGTCCGAGGAATCCTAATGCATTCCCTGGCCAGCTGAGAGACATAGTCCCTCCAGCGTGTCCTGGGTCTTCCTTTAGGTCTCCTCCTGGTTGAATGTGCCCGGCAAATCTCACCAGGGATGCCGAGCCACCTACACTGGCTGCTTTCAATGTGGAGGAGCAGCAGGTCTACTCAGAGCCCCTCCCAGGTGACTGAGCTTCTCACGCATCTCTAAGGGAGAGCCCACCCACCCTGTGGAGAAAACTCATTTTAGCCTCTTGTATCTCATTCTTTCAGTCATGATCATATGTGAAGGGAGGAACATGGATCGACCGGTAAATCGAGAGCTTTGGCTTCCGGCTCAGCTCTCTCTTCACCATGATAGACCACTAAAACGCCTGCATCACTGCAGACACAGCACCAATCCGCCTATCGATCTTGTGCTCCATCTTTCCCTCACTCATGAACAAGGCCCTGAGATACTTAAATGCCTCCACTTGGAGCAGGACCTCATCCCTGACCTGGAGAAGTCACTTTACCCTTTTCCGACTCATTTACATCACGTCTTTTAAATTAACAAGCTCGTAACATCCAGATGGCCACTTCTTACCAGAAAATATGTTTAGCTTATATTGCATTTAAGGTTAAATACTGTCTGTATTTAAGATGGACTGCTCTAACATACGTGACCTATCGGCTTGTCTCTAAAGTGTTATTTTGAATAGGAGTGATTTGCAAATGTGGTCTACTTTTATTTAAAAAGTAGATATTCAATTTTACTTTTTTGTTCTCTGAACTTCATGACTTCAATTAATTAAATTTTTATTGATCAGACTGAATAAGCTTAACAAATCAAATCAGCTGTTGTGATCAAACATTTACTCAGTTTTTCAGTAGCCTTTGTACCGCATTTTTTACCATTGCTGGATTATTTTTTTCATGATTGCTTTTCACATATTAATTTACTAGAGACAATCTTTGGCTCCTCTCCTCTGGTGCAAAACAAAATGAGTGAGTAATTACTACTGCTAGACATCATATATTACTCATCACTCATTTTTTCGATCATTTCATAAGATTTTTGTCCAAAAACCTTTCACTGTGACGATTATTCCTTTCACTTTTCCTTCGTTTTCGATTGCCAGAAGAGCGGTGGGGTCGACATTCAGACCAGTTAGCATGGCCCTAAAGGTAAAACACAATGATTTTGTCATCTTTTGGAGAAATTAGAGGAAATTATGATCAATTATCTGATTCAGTACAAACATCTGAGGAACCAAAAACAGTTTTCAAAGCCAACATTGTTTAAATGACCTGTCACAGCTGTCAGACAATCGAATCATCAACTTCCTCATGTTTGTATTCAGAAACACACCCTGAACTGGGAGGTTGCCAACAGTCACCTGTAAAACACACACACACATGCACGCACGTGATAAACAAACTGATCACACTGAGGCGAATCGCCATACATGTTAATATGCATATTTTTTTTCTCACCCTTATGAAATCTTTAAATTCTTTGGGATCCTGAGATTTAAAAGAAATATTATTCTTATTATTTTGTGAAAAATACATATGTTTTATATATATATATATATATATATATATATATATATATATATGTGTGTGTGTGTGTGTGTGTGTGTGTGTGTGTGTGTGTGTGTGTGTGTGTGTGTGTGTGTGTGTGTGTGTGTCTGAGTAATTTGAAATGTCTTCAGAACTATTTTCTTTTTTGGTGTTTTCTAGTGAATGTGTGTATTATTTACTTGCGTGCGTGCGTGCGTGCGTGCGTGTGTGTGTGTGTGTGTGTGTGTGTGTGTGTGTTCTGCACCACTTGGGTGGGCGGGTTGAGAGGAAAGTCCATGAGATATCCATCCTTTTTCTTAGAGACGGCCAGGTCTCCGCTCCTCGTCTCAAACACCACCGTTGGGTTGATGTTTTCTGATGGAGACAAGACACTTTCTGCTTTCTTGTAAAACTGCAACATTGTCAGCACTGAAGCCTCGGTGTCCAAAAAAAATTTAAACCCAAGTCTTCATCTATGGTATTTGACTGAAATGTTTCATTTATATTATAAATCATATAAATATAATTCACTCAAAGCCACATAATCACACTATGCCTTCAAACAAAGAGTTTATGGTCAGCTGCAACATTTTTTCTTTGTTCATTTTAGGTATTCGTAGGAAACTTTGCAGTTTTGCATGATAAAATAATATTTTTTTTTGCTCATGAATGAATTTAGATTAGTAGATTAGATAAATCAATGATTCTCATTTATTTTGTCTAAAATTAGGAAAAATTATCCAGTTACACATAGGGCATTCATTTTTATCCTAATGCCTTTGAAAACAACAACTTTACACCTGGCTGGAAATTAATTTTAATTTTAATTGTCCAAAAATAAAACATTTTAGATGTACTACTATTTGATGTCTTTTAACTGAGTGAATTCCAATTATTGTGCAAAACTACCTTCTGCTGTTACAACCTGTTGGCTTAAATGTGTAAATTTCTGTTTTCTCATCAATTTGGAGTTAAATCTATCATAAAGTAGAGAGAACTAAATGCTGTTAGCTCAACTGCAAAATTGGTTTTTGCATTTTAATTACATTTTTTTCTGAAAACTGAAGCGATGATTTACTTCATTCTGGTACTAAAATAATGTAGAGCAGGGGTATTCAATTCCAGGCCTGGAGGGGCGGTATCCTAGCCTGGCAAGCCAGACTAAATAAATGTATTATTTACCAAACTTTGCAAAGCAAGAATTTGGTCTAGTTCACTAGGCTAGCGGTATCCAGCACATTTTAGTTTTAACTCTGTTCCAGCACACCTGATTTCAATCAGCAGGTGATTAACAGGCTTCTGCCTTATAAGCTGCTGCACAGGTGATTCAACCACTGAATCAAGTGTGTTGGAGCAGAGAAACCACTAAAACATGCAGGATTTCCGGCCCTCCATGCCCAGAATGGAATAGCCCTGATGTAGAGCAACCTTTGAGTGTTTGACTGGAAAGTACTGCAAAGCATTAGACAAAAAAAAAAAAAAAACAAATAAATGAATAAAACTTTCTAAATAAATAAATAAATAAATAAATGAAAAAAATATATACTTTTTTTTTACCTGTTGACAACTTTTATTAAATAAATCACTTATGTTCATGTTTGGTCAAAGCAACAAGGAGCCACTTCAGAGGCTCTGACGGACTGTGTGTGTAGCTCTGAAGCCACAGTTGCAGGCCTGTTCAATGCAAATGAATGTGTTTGTGTTTAAAGTGTCTCACTTTTATACTGGAACAAGACGGCTGCAGTAGCCAGGGTGGCGTGGCCACACAGATTCACTTCCACTGTGGGTGTAAACCACCGGAGGAGGAACCTCGATCCTGTAAATCACAAAACATTTTATCATGCTGTATGAAAAGAGCTGTGAAAATGTGGAATGAAAAATATCAAATATTCTTTAAAAATATGTAAATGCTTGGTTTAAGTTTATTTTACTGTAATAATTTGTGTTTTATTTTTATAAGTGATATTGAATATTGTTATATAACTAACATGTTCATCACATGTTTGTCTTTGGGTTGCCGCAGGAAACCGATGGCTGCATATTGTTGTTTCCAACAATGGAAGCCATAGCTGTGTGTCTAACGTGTGAACCAGTCTGCTGACTACAGGAGTTGTTTTAAGTTTGAGTAAATCCGAAGGCAAAAAATAAATAATAATAAAATTTAAATATATATATATATATATATATATATATATATCCCTGATCATATTTAGCACAAAGCTAAAAATTTATTTAAAAAAACTAATTGAGGCCGTGGTTCGAACCAGGTTCTTGTACCTTAACCAAAATCAAATTCAAGCCATTTTCAAGCACTTTTAAGGTTAGTTATCACAAACCGAACAGAACAGTACCGATAAGCTCAAATAACATAATTTCATTTCCTTTTTCCATAAAGGTACATTTAGTGTGCTATACTCAATTTCAGTTAGTTTCAAGCACTTTCATTCTAGCTCCTTCCAAATCTTGAAACATCAAAAATTCAAGATTTTTTGCAAACGTCAAGCAGCCATACAAATGTTCTGTTCAAGTGTTGGTATTAAAATGCATTTAGTGATTTTTATTTCCACTTATGTAATTATATAAATTCTTTATTTTCTAGTGATTTTTACCTTAAAACATAATTATAATTTATTTAAACTCGTGCCGCATATATGAACATTTAAAAAACATTCAAGAACATTTGTTTTTATTCAGTCATTTGTATGACCTCTTTTCTACGAAGAGAGGGAGTGTCGTGCATGTGAGCAGTTAGAGCAGATAAACTTACCAGAGGTGAAGGTGTCAGACGGATTGATGGGGGTGACAAAAGCTGTTTCTGATAGGTTCATCTCTGCTGCTATCTTCTGATACAAATCATCATTCAGCTCCTGTTACAAAGACAATAGGTCAATCAGTAAATGACTCATGGTCGCTGCACAACAAGTAGTGAAAAAAATGAAGGACATAAACTGGTTTGAACTTAGACCAGATGTAGCTGCACTCTGCAGGACGTGCTCAGACAGCCGTGTTTGTTTTTGGTTTCAATCGGTCTCTAAAACTACTGAGTAAATGCCAGACACTTTTATTTGGTCCAGTTTAGTTGTGAACCTCAACCTGCTGTGTCTAAGCATGAAAGTGTGTCTTTCTTATAGATGTAAGATTCTTGCATGCAATTTTTCTAGAACCAAGCCTCATCATGGGCCCCTCAGCTAAAATTACACACAACACACTCAGTCCCACACACACTGATGTTACTCACGTGTGCAAGTGGACAGACAGCTGCAGGATTTCCCTTAAAGGGTAGATTTGTGAAGGAATCCATCGTAAAAACCTGGATTTCCATTGTTGTTAGGCTTAAAGCTGCCTGCAGCAAGGAATGGTGATTTGATGTTGGTGTTGGTCCAGCAGTGCTGCTGTCTGTGGACTTTTGACTTCCCCCACCCCCTACTTGGTTTTACAGCCAGAACTGAGCGTCACAACTACAGATTTGCTTTGTCAGCCATGTTTAACACATCTTCGTTGTCGTATTTGTCCTCATAGTGCTTAATACAAATATCTATAAGGTGCATCAGGTCGTATCAGAGATACTGTACTATGCAAAGGACTTATCATTCAAACTTGATTTATTTGCACTTTTTTCCAGTTGAGTCTGATTTTATTAGTTATTATTTTTTATTAAATGATCTTGATCAACATTTCCTAAGGCTTCCAAAAAAGGCTTTATAATTTTGTTTAGATCTTTGGCTGTTTTCACTAACAACCCTCGTCAAAAAGTCAAATGGACTAGGATATTTATAAAACCCCTGAATGAAGAAAATGCTGTAGATATTCAAAACATGCTCAAATAAATCTTCTTGAATCTGTCTGCTAAGTCAGAGAGTATGAAAAAACAGTTGACCATGCACATGTGTTTGATCTCTCTTGCAATTGGGCTTTTATTGAACCAGCTTGGTATTTCATGATTGTATGCGTTTTCTTGTACTTGTTTAATTCTTACTTTGTTCTTTTTATTTTCCTTTTTTACATTGTTGTATATTTGCTTATAATAGATCTGACTGCCACCATGAGGTTTTGCTTTTCTTTTAATTTGAATTCTCAAAAGAAGTGTGAATTTGTGTTGAAATATTAGATTATTATGTTTCCATTGAAATTTGTCATTGTTCCGAGATGTTTTTAAATAAAGTTTTAATGTGTTCTTTTCTTTCTCTTTCGTACTCTCGCGATAATTTACATGAGCGGGTTTCCTGGTGGTGTAACCTGAAGAGCAGAAGAGGACCGGGATAAAAACTTACATGTAACGCAACTTCTTTGTTTCTTTTAAACAAAATTTCGATAGAAAGTTCACTCATTTTTATGTGGGAATGTATTTTGGTATTCTGTTGCAGTGAACGAGCGTTAGCTTGCCTTTAGTTGGGTTTGTACGTTTGACCGCTGTGTCTTTCCTAGTGTTGGCCTGCTAACGCTAAAGAGCTAACGTTTTAGCGGAAGATCGATAGTTAAAATGTCCAACTTCAGATTAAAGCTGAAAAATGTTCTTAATTGGTATAAATAAAAACTACGCGACGTTGTTTTGAGGGCATCCGTCGTGGGAGCCATTTTGAATGGGTTTAAATGCGCGCTGGTAGTAAACAACTTGGATATACAAACGTTAGCTTAATGGCTAGCTGCGCACACGGAAATATTCAAATCTGTCCAGTTATCTTGTCTCAACGAATGAAAATGTCAGTGTAGGCTTTTATTTAGTATATAATAAAAATTGCCTGCAAAATTAAGGGTTTGCAGATATTAGAAAATTATATTAAAATTGGCTCTACTGTGATTACACGTTACAAGAAGTGAAAAGAAATCCAGACTGAAATGTTCATTAGAAAGATATTTGAAGTTTGTCCAATGCATTTATTTATGAGTAGTAACAGAATCCTCAGAGTTTTATTGACCATAATCACTTTGGGCCTTAATTTAACTCCAGCATGAGAGCCCACTCAGTGTCCAGTGTTTTTAGGGGATGAAGGACTGCACAATGATTACATAATTATTGCTGTAATTGTTAACAAGGAGTGTTTTGATTGTGTTTCTTTCTTTATTTATTTATTTTGCTATGGCAGACAGGATGTCTTCAAATGGAGATGGTTATGTGGTCCGAATCAGAGGACTTCCCTGGAACTGCACACCGGATGAGGTGGCCAGTTTCTTCTCTGGTGAGACTAAGCACACACAAGCCTTTTAAAAGAAGGGGATAAAATGAACTTGTAGTGTTATTAGTCATCTTAAACAAACCTTGTGTTTGTTCCAAATTACCACATTTCCTTTCTTAAAAAGACACGTCAGTCTGTTTCAAATACAAACAGGGCAAATATTTTCTACTTGTCTTTATTTAGGGGTCAATCAATCACCTTTATTTAGAAAGCACCTTACAGGCATGAAACATGCCACCAAAGTGCTGTACATTAAAAATGAAAACCAGAATAGATGATATATTTATTTTGTATATTGAGACATGTATGTTTAGATTTTAATTTATCTTTGTATTTTATCTTAAATAGTTTTGATAAAAACGCTTGCAGTTATAGTTTTTGTTGTTTAAGGCTTTTCCATTTTGCTACAGTAAACATTACCTCCATATTAGTAATAATAATATATTCAAGGTGAAAATTTAAAGCCTAACTAATATTAAACCAAGCTTATTTACAATGCAGACTGTGACATCGTGGGAAAAGAAGATGGGGTGTGTTTGACTTACTCTAAAGATGGCCGATCCACTGGTGAGGCATTTATGGAACTGTCTACATCAGAAGATTACAAGACAGCTCTTTCCAAGGACCGTAAATACATGGGGCACAGATACATAGAAGGTAAGCTACTTGTGCAGTTTTTAACAAAGGTTTATGTGTTTGAAGCATAAAAATGTTTACTTTCCTTTGTTTTAAATAATCAATTCAAGTGACAGACCTGTATTGTTTTTGTCCACCTGTTTATGTTTCTAAATTAGTGTTCAAGTCAAAGCGCAGTGAAATGGACTGGGTGATGAAACGTAGCGGTCCTCCACCTGACGACAACTCTGGCTGTGTGGTGAAATTAAGAGGACTTCCCTTTGGCTGCAGCAAGGAGGAGATTGTTCAGTTCTTTTCAGGTACAGGAACATTAAAACGTTTTATCTAAGTCTGTGCAAATAAATTGAGGTAATCTGCATGTCGACTCAAAAGTATATTTGTGGATCAGTAAAAGACACATTAATGTCACTGCATGCTATTTATTTCTTGGTTAGCATTTTAACTCAGTTGTCAGTGGTTTCATGTACCACCCCACAAAAAACTCACTATTATTATTGTCTTTATGTATCTAAGTACATTGAGCTGGATAGCGTCAGAAGTCTCCGTGTATTATTTTAGTCTCGTAGTTACATGATCTGATCCGTTTTTTATCTAAAGTAAAACAGTCAGTTTAAATTACTTTTCAATTTTTTTATTTTTTTTGTTAAGACAAACGTTTGCGGGTTTAAATATGTTTCTCATACCTGCTGACAGTTCTGGGGGCGCGGTTCAACAGCGCTCCCAGACCAGCTGATAAATGACACAACGATGGAAGTCAGATGACGCTCTAAGGAAGACTGAAGCTTTCAGTCAAATCTGTCAGCAGGTATGAGAAACCTCTTGAAACCTGCAAACGTTTGTTTTACAAAAGAAAAAAAGGAAAACTTTGTCGTTTTAATTTACAACAAAGATAAAATGAACTTTTTAAATCTAAAACAGTTTTTGTTTTCTAAAAAGTGTTATATTTGGAAATGTGGACAATGTATAAAGTCCAAGTACTTCCACATTCCAGATCAAACAAAAACACACAACACCAAGAATAAATTTGAATGTTTGTCATAGATTTGTTGACTTTTATAATTTACAAACTGTTTTAACATTACTCAGAGTTGTGTGTCTTATTATGAGTGTCCTGGTGTAAAGCATAATGTTTGGTTTATTCCTAGTTTATGCTCTTATGTTTAATTTAATGTTTAATATGCTCATTTGACTTATATCTTATAAAAAGGGTTTAACAATAGATTAAGCTAGAGGGGAAATAGTCTCATGGAACTGATCTGGAGTCAGTATCAGCAATGACTTAAAATCTCACTACAAAAGAACAAACTAAAAAAAAGAGAGCATAATCTTTTAATTGAGCTCAATTTCAGGTAATTATTAAAGTAAAAAAACAACAGTAACACAATTGGCCTACCTGCTGTACCTGCAGTTGTTTTCTGACTTCTAAACTGACTCCAGGCCAGTCTAAGTTTTAATTTTCTGTAGAAGACAAACTAATGTACATCCAGAATTCTGACATTCTCAATTTTCAAGAAGTTTTCTAATCCTGACATGTTAATCCTGACATTAATCTGAAATCTCCACTGATGCAGTGGGTGTTGTTCTACGTATCCCTACCAGTCCATCTACCGACCTATGTATTTATGTGTGCTTGGGTTAAAGGGTTGAGAATCGTGCCAAATGGGATAACTCTGCCAGTGGACTACCAGGGGAGGAGCACAGGGGAAGCCTTCGTGCAGTTTGCTTCAAAGGAGATAGCAGAAAAGGCTCTGGGGAAACACAAGGAAAGAATAGGGCACAGGTGGGACGGATGGGTGAGGGACGGGCTGGACTGGGTTGGATTTCTGTTCTAGCATTTGATGGGTGATCATGTTGGGAGGATGGGTTGGTGGGGTTACAAATTTCTGGGAAAACGTTAAAAAAGTGGTCATTTAATTGGGGGGCTCATGAAATGTTTATTAAAAGACTTTATTGGGGTTGTAGTTAACCAAATTTTTCTTTGAACTGTTTTGCGGTAGTCATGTAAAACAGCAGCTTCAGTAGATGTTTACATTCTGAGATGTGGTTAGTTTATAGTCAAATTTGGATTTAAATGTAGAATTGTGAATCCCTTATCATCAGTGATGCTAAATCAGCAGAACAACCAAATTCAAACATAAACACATTGTAAGGACTAATGGTACCAGTAATGAGGATGGCATAGATATTGTTTATTGCCCAGCTAACAGTGAAACATGTGGTTGTTTAGACATTCAGACACTTTAATGTTTACTTTGTGTCAATAATGTGTGCTTGTAAGCAGTCTTCAGCCATTTCTACGTCTTAACCTGCTTCTGTTTCATTTTTATCCTTCGGACCTCTGATGTTGCAGGTACATAGAAATCTTTAAGAGCAGTCGGTGGGAGATCAAATTTCACCATGAGGTTCCCCGGCGGGGAGCGGGTTCCCAGAGACCAGGGCCCTATGACAGACCTGTCATGTCGGGCTCAAAGGGAAGCCTTTATGGGGCCAGCCGCAGTGGGGCCCTGATGGACAGCATGAGAAGTGGAGGTGGTTATGGAGGAGGTACAATGACCATAACAAGCTGATGACACATGATGTCTAGTAGAAAAAGAATCAAATTTTTTTTGTGTTCATTTAACAACTATTTTTCTTTAAAGGTGTGGAACACTAAAAAACATTTTTTATCATTATTTCTGATTGTAATCGGTCACTCAGATTTTTTCTTGCAGGCCGAGCATGAAAATAGTCTCCAGCAACTATCTCCTGCATTAGCTGCTGATAGAAAATTTATGTTGAAATGCTAGGATTTGAAAGCCTCATCTCTTCTTTCCGCTGAGCACGAGGCATCGCAAAACATCCATGAAGCGTTCTACGTGGCAATAAGCCGCCGTTATAGTGGATTGGTTCCTTTCCACCGGCAGCAAAATGTAACGTTTTAAACGTGCCCAGAAGCGAGGGGACACTATCAATATGTTTCCAGTAGGGCTGCAGCTATCGAATATTTTTGTAATCGAGTACTCTATCGAATCTTTTACTGATTAATCGAGTACTCTAATAAATTACTCTTTTGCGTTTGTAAACCCTTATATCAAATAGCATGTTATAAAATATGAAAGACCTCTTGAAATGAGAAAGCAATTGCCAGTTATTCTTCAAGTTTTATTCAAATTTAGTTTTCAAAACTTCAGCACTTCAACTTTACTTCACAGTAAACAAATGCGAGCGGCTGCGGCCCAAACAGAACCAGAACCGCTAACGGCGCATGCGCAAACATGGCTCGCCAGCTGTTTCCCTATTAACACACGTCTGTTTTAATTTCTACACTTTTTTTTTCTCAAACTAACAAGGATTGTCGAAAGCATGTTTGCCATGGTTATGTCAAATTATACTGATCACAAAACATTTATTTATTTTCTTTCGTTTTCCTCCGCCATTCATAAATACCCGTGTCCTCCTGCAGCAATCCTGAGGGACAACGGACATCAATAACAACACAGTAAAAAGTCTGGCGTGTTGTAAAAACTGCTATTTTTAGCACATTTTAAGACCGACGTGTTGCTACCAGACGTACGGCGTGAGCTGAAACTGAGTGCTACAAATGAAAAAGTCGCACAGTGTCCGCAGAATACATAGAAATACAGGCTAAAATGCATTATCTTATAGAGGCTCCGAGTCCGCTTGCATTTACATGTGGATGTTTCCTGGTCAGGTTGCAGCATCAAGGATGTGGTGTTGTGCTAGGCTAAATCCATTTTACAGTATTTAAACTGGAGTACGTTTTCTGCCTTACGACGTGAAAAATGGTCCCACACCTTTGACATTTTCTGTCTTTTTCGCACTCCACCGGGGTCCACGTTGTCCGCCATGGCTTAAGAGAAAGTTTAGTTACATTCGCTACTCGCGTGTGCATTCAGTGCAGTGTGTATGTGCGTCACTTATTTCGGTCCGGGTGAAACATGACCCCGGGCATTGCAAAGCCATGAATTAATTAAACATGAATTAAACGAAGCCTCGAGGCAGAGAATTTGACTCGAGGATTTTTTGTACTCGAATTATTCGAGGTACTCGAGGAATCGTTTCAGCCCTAGTTTCCAGTCTATTTTTTATGTGCTGCTCTTCCAGAATACGTCAAACTCCACAGTTTCGAAACACAGGAAGTGAAACACAAAAGCAGTGTTAAACATCCGGAAACTTTCAAAATAAAAGTCACATGCAGATAACGTACGTCATTTCCTGTTAAATCCTTTTAGAAGATGTAAACGGAACAGAAAATAAACCCCAGCCCTTTTGGAGACAATCAGCTGTCTTTCTCTATTTTATTGTGTGGACTTCTGAAATCATGCGTGGTGTTGCAATTCTCCTGTGATTTTGTGGTGGAATCAGTTGTGTGGAATGCTTTTGTCCCCATTTCACATCAGAATCGCTCTTGGTTAGGAATGAGCTCGCAGGTAAAACACTGCTATTACACTACTGTTATCAAATCAGAGGTGAGATGTCCAAATATCAGGAAATAGAGACGCCAAATCCTGCCGCCTTAAGCTACTTTCTCCTCCAGCTGACTCGTACTTCCTTAAACAGGCGCATCTGAGCTTTTCTTTTCTCTTGAGTATAACATACAAGGCGCTGATTCCTACTAGAGACCACCGCAAATGTATTGAAAAACCGATTGGACATGGTCTTAAAGAAATAAAGCATTTGCTGATGGTTCTGTGAAAGTTTTTGACCATTGTTTTTTCCAATGATTTTGTTGGTGTTACAAAGAAAAGACTCTGCTGTGGTTCTAATGTATTTTATACAAACCACAATCCAAGTTTAGCCTTTGTGCTCTGTGTGCAGGTTACAGTGGTTATGACAACTACAATGGTTTCAGCAGCTACTGCTACAACGACGACATGTTTGATGATCGAATGAGAGGAGAGAGAGGAGGAAGAGGTAACGTCAATTAAACCAGAATTCCTCCTCGGTGCAAGTGTCAGACTAAAAGATTTGCAAGTTTAGTTTAATGCATGATTATATTTAAAGTTTAGCACAACACTAACATTTGTTTTTACAGAGATTTTACATCTTGATTGGAGTTTACAAAGATTTTGCATTAAACATTTTAAGATTATTTGTAGATAGTACATTTTTAATTTAAATATATCCAAGAATAACAGTAAATTTTATTAACTTTTTTGTGTTCCTTCCCTGCAGGAGTTGGAGGCCACGGTTATGGTGGACAATCTGACGGTGGCTCGGGTTTTCACAACGGCCATTTTGTGCATATGAGGGGTTTACCATTCCGGGCCTCAGAAGGAGACATTGCAAAGGTATGGATGCAAGGTTCATTTTAGTATTTGTCTAGAAAATATTTCATTGCAGTATCCTGTTATGGGCACCAGCAGATTATACTACATTGTTTTGTGTTGATGTAAACCAAAGCAGAAACAACGTAACAAAGATTATACTACATTTCTGTGAAAGAGAACGAGGTCTGAAGAGAAATAAAGGCAGTAGCCTTTATGGTAAATATTTGATTACTGTAGTTTAAAAGTAGCTATTTGCCAAAAATATAGAGTCATACAGAAACTGTTTCTGGTTGTCTTTGTTGTTCAGCATCCCTTCCAGACTGTTTTATGTTTGAGTAACTTGGGCTTTGATCCACTCCAGGTCAACACTGGCCAAATCAAATCTCTTCATGAGTCATTTCCCTGTCATGTTTCTGTATCAAGCAAATTAGTTCCCTACTTCCTGGTTCTTTCGGTTTATTGTTGCTTTTATTCCAGTTCTTTGCGCCCTTGGATCCGCTGAAAATCCACATTGACGTGTCACCAAACGGGAGGTCAACTGGAGAGGCAGATGTGGAGTTTTGCTCTCATGAAGATGCTGTGGCAGCCATGTCCAAAGACAAAAATCACATGCGTAAGTCCCACTGTTTCCCCCTCTTTAATATCTTTTGTAGTGACATTTATCTCATCTATCAAAGAACAGGTAGAGACAAAATATGGCTGATATTTTTTGATTTAGTGAGCAGTAGTTAAAGAAGGAACTCAAAATGAAAGTATTTAAGCAAGTAAAGCAGAATATATTGAAGCTGGTATCCAAGGCAACGTGGAACAAGACACAGGATTGATGTTTGGATGTTTTTCCCCACAGAGCATCGCTATATTGAGTTGTTTCTAAACTCAACATCTAGTGGAGCATCTGAAATGGGTGAGTTTCCATTCCAACAACCACAAATCAGCTCCGATTGTTACAAACCTTCAGTCCCGATCAATACCTAATGTTCATTTGACAAATGTCTAAAATATTATTCCGTATTTGTTCAGGCCGTGGCGGTTACTTCAGTAACTCAGGAGGGTCACGAAGCGGTGGCCTACGAGGTGGATACTGATGATGTCACCACATACTTCTGATTCATCCTGTTTGTTTGTGTCTCTTAAAGCCACATTTACTCAGTTTCTAGGTAAGAAAGGTAGTCGGTTGTAGTCGTTACTACATGACAGCAGAGTTTCTTTAGACATCCACTTCCAAACCTATCGGCATACGAAGAACACAACAGCGTCTCACTGTTGACACCTGGGAGCTGAAGAACCTGCTTAGTATGTTGGATTCTTCTTGTCTTTTATATCTGGAATTTCTGTTTCAGTTAAAGATGCAAATGTAAAATGATGTATTAGCAGTGTGTAATGGAAAAGGTACATGTCCTTTGGTAATAAGATAAGAAATGTACATTTTCAGTTTAAGTACTATATACCAGTTAGTTTCATATCATTTTAGTACATAAGACAAAACACAACTTCATCCAAAGAGAAATAGCTGTGGCGTTTGATTGAGGTAACATAATACTTACCCGGGGAGGGAGTGTCGGGTCTGAACGAAGTCACGCAGATATTACTAATGGGGACGATGTGTTTAAAATACCAGAATCTTTTTTTTGTTGTTTTTTAGGCTGGCTTTGTTTTGATTTAAACTTTTTTTGTAAGACCATCCAGCCAGTGAAAGAAAAAACCCACAAATTTATATCCGGTTTCAGATCAGCTTTTTTGGTTTGAAATGTTTCATAAATGATAGATGGTGTGCTTTTTATAAATGTTTTCACAGTTCTGTACAGAACCTAAAACTTCAGTTGAATAAGATGCTCCAGTCTTCATGCGAGATCTCTATATTTGAGCTGTGACGTAGCCGATTAAGCTGTTGTACATTTGCTTAATAAATTTTATATTTAATTGTCTTCCTGCCTCTGTTCTTGAGGTGAATAAATTAACTTGTCCCCAGCCATGACCTAAAACATTTTGAGCTTGATTTAATATCAGACAGGACAGTTATATACAATATATAGTATCAACACTGTACAAGGATTTGTAAAAACTCCATTTACAAAGCCAGCATTGCACAAGACTGATCTGGGTTCAGGTGAGACTTTTACTTGTAACCTTTAAGCAGTAAAGTTAAGTGGAAATGGACACTTGTTTGCTGAAAGTCACAATAAACATTTCACCACACCTTATAGAGCCCCCTCACTCAAACAGTCATGAAGCAGCGGTGTAACGTCTAATCTAGTTCGTCACAATTAGATATGTTACCTGAACCTCAGGGAATCTGAATCTGCACAAAACTTGAATTCTTCAATTTGTTGTTCTTGGTCCATCATCCACTCATCTAGTGTGGTTTTATTCTCACACAGTTGGCTAGTGTTGCTACTTTGAAATATTAAGTGCTTCTGTGAATCTTTTGGGTTCATTTTGGCAACATGAGAAAAACTTTTCTAAACAGCACTTCAAATATAGAAAACAAATCAACCCAGGTAGTCCAGTGTTGGTAGAGCTCCGGTTCAGAGCCTCGAATGATCCAGGTGTGCCCAGCAGCATTCTTCTCACATCTGTCTCAACAGAAGTAACATCTGGTAAAGAGAACTTGACACTTTCACGGGAGCAGCTGCTCTTCAGAGCTAAACAGGAATACACCTAAATGTTTAACCTGGTTTGAATCGAAGCGGTCAGTTTAATGTGTGTAAACATTGTGTTTTGATAGTTTCACCTAAAATAAATTAAGTGTTTGGCTCTAAAGAGTTAACATGTACAGTTTCAGGTTTGTCATCTGCTTTTAGCAGAAAAAGTCAGTGCAAGTTCACTTTCAGTTCTTTAGATTTGCTTCTTTCATAACTAAACCCACTCATTCTGAACAAGAGCAACACCCAGGCCAACTTTAGTATGTTAATGGTTTTGAAGTAGACTCCGTTTATGCTCCCTGCTGTCAAAATTTACTTGGCTGTGTGATGCTAAGAGTGTTCACATGCACCCAAGTGGAGTCTGGAGGTGGGTGTTGTCAATAGCCTGAGGAGAAGAGGGTCCATCATGTTGCGTTGGAGGAGCATCTCTGGAGCAGCAGGGCGTGGCAGGTGTCACAGACCCTGACCGGTTTGGGAGACGCTGGCAGAGGAAGCTCATTGTCTGAGCAACTGTTGCAGAAGATCTCTCCACAGTTCCTGCAGTGGTGCTGCAGACAGAAATATTATCAACTGGATTTAGTCATCAGTGATGGGCCACTTTCAAACCGTTTCTGTTGTCATGAATACAAACTTCACACCGGTTTATCACATCCATTATACACCCATAAATGTGACTTCATGATTTTTTAAACAAACTTCTGTGGATGTTTGCTGCAAAAACGAGCCTGATTTGAATTTTATTATTCTGCAAAAACAAATCAATAATTTTTGTATAAACTGTTGTGTATAAGGAAATTTTTCATCTATTTTAAAACATGTCATGCATAAGTTATCAGTAATCACCATTTGTCCGCTTACTGACCAGGCTTGGTTCTGGGAAACGGCATTTAAATGGAAAATGGCCTGAATTTGATAGAGCACCTTCTAGGGTTCAACAACCCCCCAAGGAGCTTTACAACAGTCACTAACGTCCAAAAGGGTAAATTTTCACCTATATATTGATCAACATAATAACCTTTCATCTCCAGCATAAATCCACTTTCTATGTGGCCTAAATCCAGAAGGTTCTGCTCAGCGCGTGTTGACATTCCATGAAGATAAAACATTCAAATAGACACTCTGTCCCAAGGTCCTACACGCTCTGCTTAGAAGCCAGACAACATTCTTCACTCTGAATAAGTGAAGACTCCATGATTTTACAGTTATAAGTTAAATAATCATATCTGATGAGTGAACAAGATGTTTAAGTCAAATGTTTGAATAATCTGTACTTAAATCAATGAATTTGAAATGAATATTGTTTGTACAGTGATCCATTTATATCACTAATCAGTATGTGTTTGATTTAACAAGTTAATCTTTGTTTACACTCATACACATTACAGTAAGATACAGATTAAGGTAATAGGCACCTCACATAAGAGTTTTAAGACATTCTCATTCACAGTGTTAAAACATCTTGGTATCTGCAAGAAGGCGTGGCTTTCTGAGGGATGTTGGTAAATACTCATTCTGATTTGTCAAACTTGGCCAGAACTCATAACATTGCGGGTTAATAAAACAGGATTTACTTCCCGATTAATTCAGTTTCTCGCTGACCCTCGAACCGGCCAATTCGGGAAAGCAGCATTTTTGAAACCACCTTCTCCTTTGACCTGTCAAAGCCTCTCTGCAACGCTGCGGCCGATACCAGACAACCGGCTCTTCTAAGAGCCAAGCAAACATCAGCCTTAGACGCAAATAAGCATTCCAGCTTTCAACCTTCACCTCGAGGGATCTCGGACTGGACAGGTCTTATCGGCGCCATCTATGGGTTCCTGATATCAGAGGTTCACTCAACCGGCAGTGACCATGGACCCTCGGATCGAACGAGAACCTCCACACCAAGGGTGCGTAGACTTGGCATGACAGACTGCGTCTGATGCTGTTTTTAATAAACAACTATCTAGTAATAACAAACAACAAATTCTTTTACACCCAGATTTCACAATTTCAGATGCAAAGAACGGTTTCTACAACATCTAGCTTCCATCACAACACCTCACATCCACCACACCACATCTCATTATTCATATCTTGCCATGTATCATTAGTTTAGGAAAAATAATTAAATTCATTATATAAACTATATACTGACTGTATTAATATGAAGTGTGTTTATGGTCGGTAAAGAAGCAAAGAACCCTAGAATCTTCTGATTAAACATTCAAAGATCAATCAGATTGATATTTCATATTTATATGGAATCATCACATCTTATTGGTCATAATTAATATGTTTTAATTGCTACAGTCATCCACCCAAGCACACACACTGGTTGTGATCAATTAAAAGGAAGCCACAGCTGCCCTGGGGCCTACTGACAGGTGAGGCTGCCAAACATAGGCACCTCTGGTGCCTCCGTCCACCACCAGCAGGCAAGGCAGGTTAAGTGTCTTGCCCAAGGACACAACAACTGCAACAGACGGGGCTCGAACCTGCAACCCTCTTGTTGGGGAGGCTTAACTCCCCCATTTACTGCTGCCTTAAAGCAGGTTTGGTCACCAAAGAGTCAACGTTCCTGGCTAAGTTTGTCCTAGCTGTTAGCTCATCAGTCAATTACAAAGTAAAGGCGGTTTCTCCAAAAAGAGGCCGCTCAGGGAGCCAACTACAATGGGAAAGATGGCCATTATTTATACTTGTTTACAAAGAAACATCACCCCCCCCCCACACACACACTCCCCCAAAAAACAAACAAACATGAAAGTGCACGAACCTTCCGTCTGGAGATGGAGAACTCTTTCTCACACAGCTTGCAGTGAGTGGCTTCTTTGTCCTTCAGCCACACCTGACCACCCTGAAAATAAACCAATTTTACTTAAAAGTTACATAAATTAATAAAAAGAGCCTTTCTTTAATATCACAAAGCATGTCACATCAGCACATAAGAAAAATACACAAGATAAAATATTAATGACACTACTACGGAGTTCTGGTTAGGCAAAGGGCAACATTTCAAACAGGGTAGAAACGGGTTGTTCGAGGTGGGATTTTGCCTCGCTGAGATGATGTGGTGGAACTTTCTCCAGGCGACAGAGGGCAGCAGCTGGTGACTTATTCAGCGTACCACACAGAGATGCGGTATGTGACGATGTCATTGACGGTTCTCTGCTAGAACACAGTAAACTTCAGGGTTTATTGTGTGTTTTAGCAAAGCAGTTACCCATAAAGGTGCAGAACTTGTTGTGTATGTACAGTCAGGTCCATAAATATTGGGACATTGATACAATGCTAACATTTTTGGCTCTATACACCACCGCAATGTATGTCAAATGAAACGAACAAGATGTGCTTTAACTGCAGACTGTCAGCTTTTATTTGAGGGTATTTACATCCAAATCAGGTGAACGGTGTAGGAATTACAACAGTTTGCATATGTGCCCCCAGTCTGCAGTCTGCAGTTAGGGCACATCTTAAAGGACCAAAAGTAATGGGACAGATTAAGAACCATAAATCAAACTTATACATTTCAATACTTGGTTGCAAATCATTTGCAGTCAATTACAGCCTGAAGTCTGGAACACATAGACATCACCAGATGTTGGGTTTCATCCCTGGTGATGCTCTGCCAGGCCTCTACTGCAACAGTCTTCAGTTCCTGCTTGTTCCTGGGGCATTTTCCCTTCAGTTTCGTCTTCAGCAAGTGAAATGCATGCTCAATCGGATTCAGGTCAGGACTTGGCCATTGCAAAACAGTCCACTTCTTTCCCTTCAAAAACTCTTTGGTTGCTTTTGCAGTATGCTTTGGGTCATTGTCCATCTGCACTGTGAAGCGCTGTCCAATGAGATCTGAGGCATTTGGCTGAATATGAGCAGATAATATTGCCCAAAACACTTCAGAATTCATCATGCTGCTTTTGTCAGCAGTCACATCATCAATAAATACAAGAGAACCAGTTCCACTGGCAGCCATACATGCTCACACCATTACACTTCCAGCACCATGCTTCACTGATGAGGTGGTATGCTTAGGATCATGAGCAGTTCCTTTCTGTCTCCATACTCTTCTCTTCCCATCACTCTGAGTTGATCTTGGTCTCATCTGACCATATGATGTTGTTCCAGAACTATGAAGGCTTTTTTAGATGTTGTTTGGCAAACTCTAATCTGGCCTTCATGTTTTTGGGGCTCACCAATGGTTTACATCTTGTGATGAACCCTCTGTATTCACACTGTTGGAGTCTTCTCTTGATTGTTGACTTTGAACCTACCTCCTGGAGAGTGTTCTTGATCTGGTTAACTGTTATGAAGGGTGTTTTCTTCACCAGGGAAAGGATTCTTCGGTCATCCACCACAGTTGTTTTCCGGGTCTTTTGGTGTTCCTTCTTTTTGAGAATGTTCCAAACTGTTGTTTTGGCCACGCCTAATGTTTTTGCTATCTCTGATAGGTTTCTTTTGTTTTTTCAGCCTAATGATGGCTTGCTTCACTGATAGTGACAGCTCTTTGGATCTCATCTTGACAGTTGACAGCAACAGATTCCAAATGCAAATGGCACACTTGAAATGAACTCTGGACCTTTTATCTGCTCATTGTAATTGGGATAATGAGGGAATAACACACACCTGGCCATGGAACAGCTGAGAAGCCAACTGCCCCATTACTTTTGGTCCCTTAACAAGTGGGAGGCACAAATGCAAACTGTTGTAATTCCTACATCGTTCACCTGATTTGGATGTAAATACCCTCAAATAAAAGCTGACAGTCTGCAGTTAAGGCACATCTTGTTCGTTTCATTTGATATCCATTGTGGTGATGTATAGAGCCAAAAATGTTAGCATTGTGTTGATGTCCCAATATTTATGGACCTGACTGTATGTATGTATGTATGTATGTATGTTCTTTCATGTAAGATCTGTGGCCTTACCTGCAGAGCTTTGTTGGCCTCTTTGATGTCCTCGATCTTCAGCTTGGATCTGATAAAATACAAACAGAGATGGGTGGATTTAACAGACATCAAAGTTCATACATTGTTTAAAAAAATGCTTGATAAACTTACAAAAATAAAAGTTCATTTGGACAATAAAAACTATTATTACTGTTCTCATTTGTAAACAATTAAAGGTTTCAGTCGTATGAAAACAAACTATTTAATTCTGACTCTGGCCAGAGTTCTCATACTCGCTGAGCTTGGAGCCGAGCTCCTCCAGAGCTTGTTCCTGGTCCTCACAGACGGTTTTTAGCTGAAGGTTTTCATCCTGGAGACGATGGAACTCCTGGGAAAATCGGTTGAAACAAAACCACAAAACACGAGTAATCCTTTAAGTACAACGTACAATAAATCTACTTGATAAAAGCTTATTATGAGATGTGAGATCTTCTCTTTCCACCTTCTTCAGTCCGTTGATCTGCAGTGCCTCTGTGCTGAGCTGGGACACGGTTTCTCTCTCTCTGTGCAGGTCGTTCTGTAATGTCTGTCTCCACTCCCTCTCTATTTTCAGGTCCGTCTCCAGCTGCTGGCTAGAGGTCCGACGTAACCATAGAAACAAAAAACAGGCATTTAAAGATGAAGAACAGATTCTAGCGCATAAAGGTCTGAAATGTTCACAGGTTTCTGATTAATAAAGAGAATTAATGTGTGTATTTAGATTAAAATTATAATCCCTAGTGAGTGCAAACAGCTGTTTTGCTGTCATTAGCTGCTTTTTCAGTGAATTGTTCAGCGAGGAATAAATTGATTTGTGCAAGTCGACCACTGAAATGGCCCTTGTGGGCGATTTGCTTACAGTTGCTTCTCTCTGTGTTCGATTTGCCGCTGCAGGCTGTCGGCCTTTTTGGCAAAGTCCAACTTGAAGCGCCTGGATCCGTCCTCAGCCGAGGTGCGGTGCCGCTCTGCCTCCTGTAATCTGCACCATTATAACCAGGGACAAACTCAGGACCATGGAGAAAAGTCTGGGAAGTATGTGTGTAGGGGAGATGGAAAAGCACAGTGCCCCCCCCCCCCCCCCCCCAAAAAAAATAATACAGAAAATGGGAAAAAATGGATGTAATGGATGAGAGAAAGTACGACTGGGGTGAAAAAACAGTGTGTTGAATTCTGGTGATACAACACTTGAAAGTCAAACTCTGCCACCAAATGAACTTCGAAGCCACAAAGCAAGATATTAGGAACACAAAGAAGTGGAGATACACAATAAAACAAAAAGAGAAGATAACTGGGCAAGAAAAGCGAAGAAAAGCTGACCCAAAGCAGCCTCGCCACGATTAACTCCTTTAAAATATCCTGACATTACAAAAAAACCACCACTCTTTGAGCCATTGCTTTCAAACTGGTTTCAGTGGTTCTTGAGCCTGAAACGAGCAATTTCCCCTTGGACATCACCTTGTAGCCCTCTGCTGATCAGAAACTGCACTTAACAGTTTGAGTTGGAACACTAGTAGGAGCTCTCTGCCTGCTTTAGGTGTAGGTACCAGATCTGCTCGGGGTCCTGCGTCTGCAAATTACGTCACAGTAGATGATTGGCTGAACGCAAGACTTACGGTAAGTTACGATACCACAATCGTAAAAGTTACGTTAGCACGTTCACAATGATGACTTTGATTGGCCAGAACGAATTTGCGGTTGTAGTCCTGTAGTCCAAGTCCAAAAGAATCAACACTTTTCTGAGAAAATATGTTTGAATTTCAAACGGAAATGTAAAATAAAAGCAAAGATATTAACTGATAAATGTTGACCCCCATAAGCTCTTGATTTTCATGAAATGGGGCAAAATAAATTATAAAGACTTTATTGAAAATACACCAAGCAACATTTTGATTGAATGTATTTACATGTTTATTTTTATTTATTTAGCAGACGCTTTTATCCAAAGCGACTTACAATTTATAACCTATAGGGCATGTTGTGATCTGTGGGGGAACCCGGAGTACCCGGAGGAAACCCACGCATGCATGGGGAGAACACGCAACTCCACGCAGAAAGGCCGCAGCCGAGTTTCAAACCTGCGACCTTCGTGCTGCGAGGCAACAGTGCTAACCACTGCGCCACCATGCAGCCACATAACAACTAAGGAAATACACAAATTCCACATTAATACCAACAGATATGACTTCACATATAAGAAATAGTGTCTTATTTTGGTAGTCTGATGTTGGTTTTATGTAGTTTCACATTCTTTATATATCAAAGATAATATGGTCTTTTATTAACAAATTAATTATAAAGAAAACATTCAGGTTTAAACAAACAAGAATTTATTAACAAAACTGCTGAAGTCTTTCCAAAACGTAAGTTTGAAAGCCAAGTGGATTTGCTGGAATGTGACGTCATCAGCAGGCGCAGGACCCCAAGCCGATCTGGCAAACCGAGCAGATCTGGTACCAACAACGGCAATAGCTATTTACTGTGCTACTAGCTAATGTAAAGGCTAGCAGTTAGTTCTTTCGGTTTGCTGACCATCAATAAAAAGCACAAGAAGAATTAGTTTGCTTTTTAGTTGGCTTCAGAGCTCAGAAGTAAAAGTAAGAGGGCAATGTCTGTGGAGGTGAAGCAAAGAGCTAAAACCAGAATGAACATCAGCGCTGCCTACACTAGTCTGATTGAGCTAAAGGAAGCTGCGACATCACAGACTGATAGTGACCTGGCTTTGTTGCTACAGGACTTGTAAGTACATGTTTTTTGTTCAAAAGTGTGGATTTTTTTACTTTGTGGTTTATTTAGTATCAGTTGGCTCTTGTTAGCGTTAGCAGGCTATGGCAGGGTGGTTTACAACTGTTTTATTTACACTGTCAACCAGTAAGAGAGCAAGAAACGGAAAACGTATTTAGTCCTGCTTTAAGAAAGCCAACTTGATCATTTATATTTGGGATAAACAGTATTTTTACTAACATCACCTCACAGCTCTGTGAACCTCAGCTATTGTTTATTTTTGACCTCATGATGTTTTAGAAATACGATATGAAACTGACTTTTTTAGCACAAGCATGGTTAAAAACTCCAACCACAATCAGAACTTTCAAAACATTTAACTTTATTCGTCACTGTGGTAAAAGACAGCAAGTTGTGGGTTTCCAACAGCTGCACCGGGTCTTTCTTCCTCTACAGTTTTAGGTTATTAGAAACATGTTGTCAGAATAAGAAGGAGGATTATTTGCCTAATATATAATCACAAAAGTCAGTTAATATGCCCAAACAAACCACAGTAACAGAGGTTTACAGCTCTGGACCTAGTTCTTACACTCAGCTGATCGATCTTTTCTGCACACACTAAACACACCAAAGCCTCTGGTCCCTTGTGTGGAAAACCCTTCGTTTTCACAGCAGGTGGAGAATCTTGAGGAAGGTGAAGAAGACAAGTTGTTTCCATAGCTTCTCATTTTCTAACGTTACAGTGCACTACACTTACACACTACATGTTGATACGGTGTTCTACAACCCTCACTTTAGCTCTCCGCTACTTTCTGTAATCACATGATGCGAGTCATGTCTAAAGCCTGAACTAACTACTCACGACTCATGTGAGGGCTTAAAGGGATCTATGTGGAGATCTATGGGAAAGGTTATGAACTACCTGTTGTGGACTGCCTGTTAATCTGCCTGATTTTGGAGAAACTGATTAATTGTAATTAAAGTGTTGCAAGCCCGGTTCATCCTGTGCATTTTTACGCTGTCGTAGAAAAATGTTTTTGTCATGAATAGTCGTAATGGAAAAACTGTGGGTGGGATTCTCAGGTCTGTGGCCGTCCTGTGTGACGGGCAGTATCACCATTAGAGACACTGGAGGCTACATGCAAGAATATGTGGAGCATTCCTTTTTAGTGTTAGACTCTGAGTCGTGATAATTCTAGCGCTTTTCATCGTTGGCGTCTGTACAGAAGTGGTAGTCAATGCTAATGGTTAGTGTTGACTGGTGCTCAGTTCATATCGCACAGAGCTCTACGGAACAGGGGACGGGCCTAGCAGAAAAAAAAGACATTTCCTAGTGTCCGTTTAGTAGAACCAAAAGCAAAACGTATCTCCTCGCTGTTCGTTTGTCTTTTTAACACCTTCATCTAACAGCTGAAATGTCTCCCAGCCTTCATTAGTGTCTACAGGAGTGATTCATCATTAAATTACACAAATCAGCTGTGTTCATGATCTAAAACATGCAGGAAATGTGCTGAAAGCAGACTGGCACTCTGAAGGGCATTAACTCAAAGGGTCATTTTAGCACATACTGGCTCAAGAAAACGATTGAAAATTTTGAAAAAGTTGCAAAGTTTCTCTTTAATCACAAATTGAAACTATTTATTCTGTTAATAATATCTGATATAAAATGGAATATGTTATAATCTATATCTGCCGGACAGAGCTGAGCAAAAATTGAAATCAACACCTGAGTCAGTGCCTCTCTAGCCTAGAAAATAATTCAATCAGAAGATTTCAGTTCATGCTGGTCCTATCAATTAACTCCAATTTTGCCAAAAATTTACACATTTCAGTCATTCTTACAGAACCATTATGAAATCTGATCCAGAAGTTAGTTCTGAAACCAATTCCTGCTGCATAATTATGTGCAAGTACCCATGTAATGTAAAATGCATGAGTAAAAAGTTTATAATTAGCATTTGCATGAACATAAATGAAATTTCTAAAATTAAGAGTTGATTTAAGCCAGCAGAACAACTTTGTAACTGGCCTAATCTAAACTCTGTTTCTCCTAACTGAAGGCAACAGCCGGGATGCCTTTTGTTCATAACCATTCCCCATAAACTCACTCGAAAAAGACATGAAGGATCCCTTTAAGTGTGTGTGCACGAGGGACTGACTGATTTCAGACAGAGACAGGGTAATCACAGCCAACTGGGTGTGCAGGTCAGGAGGTGCAACACATGCAACACAAACCAGCAGCAGAGTGGAAGCAGCAGGCTGCAGCAAACACGTCGGATCAGGGCTGTGGCGGGAGTGAGTGGTGGCTTTTTGCACGCGGCTGTGATGAAAATGGTCTTCAGATTTCTCTTTCGGGCCAGCTTGAGCACCTCCATGAGTCGACTTAAAGGATTTATTCTCAATTACGTCAATAAAGAAGACCTTATTGTCTGTCTTTCTGCATATAAACTGAGTGGAGTATTCTATTGCAGACCTGAACATGTGTGAATATACAAATCATAAACAATTAAACATGCATGTTTAGTTTCTCTTTAACTATTTTAAAGACCGATCTCTGGCCCGTTAAATGCAGCCGCTGGAGAGAGGAAATCTTTTTTATCATTTAGCGCCAACGTGTCTGGCTGTAATTTAATCAAACATCATAAAAAGCTGTTGTAAAGGTTCCTGTCAGGATCTGAAACCAAACATGCGGTCCGGTTCCACCTGATTCTCCTCAGACCCTAAAACCGTTTGGATATTATGTGTAAAATAACAGAAATGATTTCTTTATGATTGTGATTCCAGTCAGCTCTCAGAAGGAGATGTCCTTGACTAGCTTGTACTGGTGCTCTGTGTCTGTGCTAGCACATTTCACAAATGACATGGCAAGTGTTCTGGTCTGACTGAGCAGCTCCTTATCGCTGCAGAGGAGCAGGAGGGGAGAAAAAACAAATCAACCAAAGGGATGGAGGGATGGAACAAACAAGATGAACAGAAAGGGGAAGAGGGAAGGAAAGAAAGGAAGAAAGGATGTCAATACATCAGTATTCTAAGCGGCTCCAGTTAGACTGAACATTTAGTTTTTTGTGTGTTTCTGACGACATCACAAGCAGAGCAGAATGTGTGAATGAAACAAAGAAACCAGGACTTTAAGATGCCGGGTTCTCTCTGTAATCAGATATTCTACAGTCTGGATTTATGTAGACGGATGAGAGGATGTTTAAAGGTGAAGGAAGGAAAGGTAACACAGAAGATGAGATTAAATACATCTGAGACTTTCAGGCTACATCTGGAATGAGCATTTTGCCTTCATTAGCCGAGTTTGTCTTCTTCAGGAAGCATAAATCTGACTAAGAATGTCCTCTGGACCTGCGTCCTGCAGCGCTGGTCTACATTAGCCTCCGGAGCAGCAAAATCAACCAATCACAAATGAGACTGAACAGACTGAAACCAATGGGAGGAAGGAAGGATGGACTGACTGTACTCTGACACGATGGAGCAAGGAAGGATCATCAAGCATCAATGAAACAGCAGGCAGCTACACAAGGACAGATATGGGGCGTTTGCCTCAAAATGCATGACAACCTCAGCAGTTTATGACCGCACTGGTATAGCGCCTCTCAGAGTAAGGACTCCAAAGCGCTTTATACTACAGTGTATCATTCATCCATTCACACACACATTCACACACTGATGGTGATGAGCTACAATGTAGCCACAGCTGCCCTGTGGCGCACTGACAGAGGCGAGGCTGCCGAGCACTGGCGCCACCGGTCCCTCCGACCACCACCAGCAGGAAAGGTGGGTTAAGTGTCTTGCCCAAGGACACAACAGCAGAATTCTCTGTCCTGAGTCGGGATCGAACCTGCAACCTTCTGATTACTGGACAACCCGCTCAACCTGTTGAGCTACTTCTGCCCACTTATCTCAGACATCAAAAGTGGGCGGAGTCTCCACAAGGAAATAATCTGACTTCCAGGCAACGTGGCTGACATCACCACTATCAACTGTGATTTTGTGAGAGTTAAATCCTGTTTAAACCTTGTAGCTCGTTTCTTTGGGGAAACTCTGGTGGAGTGATAAATGGTTTAAAGAATATGTCTTCTTATTGGTGTGTCTGAAAAAGCGTATTAAACTAATAAAATCTATTGTAATGATCATCAGATGTAGAAAAAAGCAAACCTGAGTTATTTTAATCGAGAATAAGAGATTGTAATCAAAGATAAATTACTGGCTAGGACATCGGTCTGTGCTGAAGGTCTCACCTCTGCTCCAGCTGCTTCATGGTGGCCGTGATCTGATTGGTCTTCTCCTCCAAACGACTGATGACGTTGTTCTTCTTCTTCATCTCCTCATCAGACGACTGTAAAATGAGAAGGGCTGGTTTCCATAAGCAGTATCGAAGGCAGCGTTTCCCTTTTCCTGAGTTTGTGACGTTACCTGCATCTTCTGGTACATTTCCACGTTGATGGCTTTGACCTCGTCCAGCTGGTGTCTCAGTCCAATCAGTGTGTCCTGTTGATCAATTAATGCAGATAAATAAACTGATTTATTGCAGCTTCCTCTGAGTTTAGACTTTAAGTGACCTGTTTTTCATGAATATCTTTCTCCAGAAGCTTCATGGCCAGCTCCATTTCCTGTTTCATCGACACTTGAGCCACCAGCTCGTTCTCCACATCCTGGATTTGATCAGAACACAGAGAAGAGCCGTTATTGAGATTGTCTAAGGCTGGGTGTACAGACATACCCCACAGGGTCTGACCTGTCGGAGCTGACACTCCTCCTTCAGCTGTCTCCTGGCTTCATTGTACATCTCATCCAAACCCTGCCGCGACTGTTTGTACGCGTCTCTCTCCAAAGACACGTCGCCTTGAGCCACCTGGGTAAACAACACCCACGGGAAAAGTTAAATCGAGGAACAGATCTACTCTTAACGTGCGAGGGAATTTGTGTCAGTGCACCTCTAAATGCTGCTGAGCCTTTAGGAGAATCAGGTTGTTTTCACTCCTCAGCTGCTGGTTTTCTTCCTGCAGTTTGATGATGTTGTTCTTGGCAATGGCGAGCTGCGCACGCACGCACGCACGCACGCATACACACACACACACACACACACACCAGGAGAGTCAACAATGCTCAAACTGACACATCTTTGGTGATTCAATTCAAAATGTTTCCTTTACCTCCTCGATGAGTTTGGAGTTGGACTTCTCCAGAGAGTCGACTCTGCTCTGAAGGCCATGAACCGTGGAACTTCATAACAAATACAAAATTAAATAAATTCAATATCTGGTTTTCTGATATAATTTTTTTTAAATATAGGTCTGCCATCTGAGTAATTGAATATATTAATTTTCTTTAAATTTGTCCCAAAGATCCTTCAGACAAACAGATTCAAAATAAAAAGAACACAGTCTCACTTCAGCTGTCGATTCAGTTCCTCCACGTAGTTCTTCTGGTCTAAAATGGATGCTATTTGACTATTCCTGTTGTCATGGAAACAGTAAAAAAAAATAATCAAGCTCACATTTGGAATAGGAAACCAGCCGCATTTAACAGAGAAGGAGCAGCAACAAGGCCTCACCTCTCTTCGCTCCGGTAATCGTCTATGTCATTCTTTAGGTACATGGAGAAGTCGATCACTCCGACCTGAAAGAAAAGGACAAACGTGAGGAAGTAATCACTGCGGGATTTGGAAAAACAGAATCACTGTTCTAAATATGAGAAAGAAAAATTATCATCAAGATCTGTTTTAGTCTATAAGTCGAAAACGCTTTAGACTTTCTTTCAAAATATGAAACATGGCCTTTGAGCTGGAGGAGGATGCGTTTTCATTGGGAATCTCTTGTTCAATGAAACTGTGCATCAGTTCTAACCAGATGACCTCGCATCACAAGAATCCTGCTTGGTTGGAGGTAAAAGAGGAGCCAAGCATGATGTTTGAAATAAAAAAATTAAAAAAACTGGCCAGCTCTCCCGCTTCCAAAGTAAGAGACTCAACAAGTAGTCCTTGTTCCTGACACCTGATAGTGTTAAATAAACAGCTTCAGGTCAAGGAACAGTGGAGGTTACCTGAGAGTCCAAGTCCTCGCCTTTAACACACAGATTAGCATCAATGACATTCAGGCCCACCAGAAGGCCCACGATCACTGCTCCCTCTTCCTCCAGCATTAAAGCCGAATCCTCGTAAAAATCACTGGATAGGGAGATAAAACACAAACAGTCAACACGTTGCCTTCTGGACCGGTACGTTGTCAGCGTTTCCGCTCTACACGCACCTGAGGAGGTCTTTTCGAGTGATGAGAAGTCGCAGGTAGTCGGCCAGCCGTTTCTGCATGAGAGCCAGACGCAGCCACGCTCTGGCTCTGCCCAGCGGGGTCCTGAGGAACCAACATTACCGATAAGTGTTTTAATAGTTCCCTGACCGAAGTGGGAACTAGGCAGTTTTGGCTTGCTTTTAGCACCCCCTAGTGTCCATTTGTAGAATCGAATCTACTCGCTGTGCGTTGGTCTTTTTAACACCTTAAGCCTGGTTTATGCTTCTCCGTCAGCTCCGCAAGAGACAGACACGCACGGATTGACGGAAGCGTTTTGCTCTCATACTTCTCCGTCTCCTGGGGAGTGTTGCAAAGCAATTGCCCGGCAGGACCACAGAGGGCGTAGCGCTGTTCTGTGGTATCCTGTCATGTATGGGTCCAAGATAGTGTGTTTATAATGTGTTTTTTGTGCATGTAAAGAGACTTTTAACACGGACATATTTGTCTCTCATTCTCCCAACTCTTCATGGGCTCCCCACCTCTAAACCCACGTTTCCTGTCATTTCCGTCCACAAATAAAACGCTTGCTGCGCATCTTTTCATTCCTCCAGTCACGGGAGAATTAAACGTTCATATTTTTAGAGTTTTTTTCGCGAGGTATTCTTCAAGTTTCTGTGTCTGCCGCTAGTTTTCCTCGGCTCTCTTTGCAATGGCAGCGCTGTAAACAACAGCGGCGTCCTGACCAATCACAAGCTTGCGTAATCCGTCTCGTTCGACGGATGTTAAAAAAAGTGGGCTCGACTCCGTACGTACTTGCGTGCCTGCCGGATCCCTACGCAAGGACGGATAATGGCGTTGCGTGTCTCCGCACTGACGCAGACGGAGAAGCATAAATCAGGCTTAAATTTAACAGCTGAAATGTCTCCCCAGCATTCCTTAACGTCTACAGGAGCGATTCATCACTGAATTAAACAAATCAGCTGTATTCATGATCTAAAACATGGAGGAAACATGCTAGAAGCAGACTGCAGCGCCAGATGTGTCTGTTCAATTCTTTAAAGTCCCAAAAAGCGGCCTGACGGGCACTGAGTGGCTCTTTATTTACCCTGTAAAGCAGGGCTGTTCAATACCGTTGCCTGGAGGGCCGGTATCCAGCACGTTTTAGTTTTAACCATGCTTCAACACACCTGATTTCAATCAGTCAGTGATTAACAGGCTTCTGCAGAGCCCGATGAGCTGCTGCACAGGTGATTCAACCACTGAATCTAGTGACCAGAGAAACCACTAAAACGTGATGGATGACAGCCCTCCAGGGCTGGAATTGAATAGCCCTGATGTAAAGGATAATTTTAGTACATACTGGCTCAAGAAAACTATTTTAAAACATGAAAAGTTGCAATGCATCCCTTTAAATTTTTACTTTTGACTTTACATAAAATGTGCATCACAGCTGAGTGTGTCACGTCTGGCCTTTGAGTCTGCTTTACTCTGCTTCAGGTCTTTTAGTGTGACTCAGCATTTTTATAGGAAACTGTTCCTTATTTTACCAGATCAGACCATATGTGAACGTTCCCGCTTGGTTTCCTGTCTGGAAACATCCTCTGAACGCTGATCTGTGCTCACAAACTCCTTTTTTTTAACGATCTGTCTACAAACAAATACGATCCCATTCTTGTTTTTTTAAACCACACATTGCTCAGTGTTAATAATAAACATCTGATAATCACACCTTTGTCTCGAAATGCATTTTGAAAGAGAAAAATACTAAAATAGAAACAAGAAAATGGAAGTAGTGAGGTAGCAGCATAGAAAAAGGTGAAGTGAAAGTAAACCCCGAGAAACTTCCCTGAGCTAACAGGTTACAGTGTCGCGTTACTCCAGCGTGTGATGGTTGTGGCTCCACCATCAGGTTGGCTTGTGCAGAACCAGAACAAATAAACGTGAATTCATCTCTTACTTGAGTCCAGGAAGATCTCGAACAGACGCAGAGATCTCCGCTGCTTCTGGACACAGTTTCTCCACCAGCTCCAGAGGACCCCACAGAGATTTGTTGAAACCCAGGAAGGACTTCTTCACTGGAGAGAGGCAGGGAGACTTCTCAGACATGTGAAAACATACAAATGATACTTGGTCTTACCTTTGAGGCCATGTTTCAGGCAGTGCTCCATCACCACGAAGAACTGCTGCAGAGGTGGGTAGTCTGAGTCCAGCGTTCGTCCGAAGCTCAGAGCAGACTCGATCAACCCTTTAATGCTGAGCTTTGCCATGTTCAGTAGGTTCGCTCGCTCCATGGCCATGGGGTCCCTTGTGGCTGCATGGGGACAACACCTCGGATTTATCAGGATGCAACTTACAAATATCCACACGAGGAGACTCCACTGGCAGATCTTTGAGTGCCTTTAATTAAAAAACTGGACAATATTTGGAGAGAATATTAATATGAAAGTACTTAAGTTATGAATTTAAACTACTCCTGTTCCGATGTAACTTATTTGAGTCAAATCTAGTGATTAACCGATATGAAATTTTTGGGCCGATACCAAACGTCCGTTCTTTTCATTAGCCGTTGTCGAATTGTGATCAGCAGAAGCTTTTTCTGATTCACGCTCCACTTTTTTTTACAGCAGCGGCCCAAAACGAACTCCTAACACATGGATTTTCTGCTTCCTGATCACATGACGTGTGACATACGCTGATGAAGATCGGCTTTAGAGCTGGGATGTTTGTTCTCACGGTGCGGGGGCTCGTTCCGACACCCACACAGTAAAAAAATTGGCAGTGAATGAGTTAAGATCGCTGTTATGGCCGATAACCGATTTTTACCAATACCGCTATACTGACATTAATGCTTCTAAAATCAGCAGATTTTGTATAGAATTATTACAGCTGAATTTACATTATTATGTACACACACCACTCACATTTATGCTTCTGAGATGATTACACTCACTGTCACATGACTAAAATACACATCACTGCCCTCACCCTCTGAAACAGGCAAACAAATGGAAACCAGATGGAAAAAATATCGGTTGTAAATATCAGCCCAGTTTTGTTTATCGGACCGATATGTTAAAAAAATGACCGATATTGATGCCGATATATTGTCCATACCTAGTTAAATCATACAAACTCACATTTCATTTCAGGGGTAAACAATCAACTAAAGTTGTTCTTTGTAAAAATGAAAGCATCCATGCTTTATTAAAAATAACTGATTTTATCACCTTTTGTTTATCAAGGAATTTTGACTGACTTGTATCCTGAATGCAGCACTGCATCAAGAATAAAAAGCACCCATGTTGCATTTGGTCTGGAGGTTTAAAAGCTGAAGGGACTTCAGTCACTGGTACCTGAGATGTTCAAATATTTTTTTGCAATAAATGGAGTTAACAAAAAAAAATCAAAATAGATTTTACAATGATTATAAAGTGCTGAAATTTCTGCTTTGAGGAGAATCTCCGGGGTTGGACATCACAGCGTTCCGGGGATGTTTGCTTTCAAATGTTTCACACGTGGAACGTTAGTTAATCTGTAGCTAAACAGCAACAGCACAGAGCAAAGTCAAGACAGACGGTTGCTTGGTATCGTTAAGGAGCGTTGAAGAGAAACAATTTATGATTAACTTGAACATTCATGATTGTGGAAGACAGCAAGTGTGGGCTACATTTAGTGATTCTGAGGTCACAAATGAGCAAAAATGTTGGATTTTTTCCCCTTGTTTGGCAATGGTTAATTAGATAAAGTATTCTCTTCAAATGTAGCTATTTAGGATAATTATAAATTACACAAACTCTGCTGTCTCTGCTGTCCAAGAAGGAAGCGGCTCAGGTGGTCGCAGAGGCAAAAACGTGGAAAGAGTTTGGTGAGATTATGGAGCAAGACTTCGAGGAGATCCAGGTCCACCTTCTGGCACCTCAGAAGGGGAAAGCAGTGGGTTACCAACACAGTTTATGGTGGGGGCGGTGTGTTGCTGACAGCTACTCGGGACGTTGTGGATTGGTTGGCGGAGTACTTAGGAAGACCTCCTCAATCCCATCGGCACGTCTTCCAGTGAGGAAGCAGAATCCAGGGACTTTTGAGTTGGACTCCCCAATCTCTGGGGCCGAGGTCACTGAGGTGGTCAAAAAGCTCCTCAGTGGCAAGGCTCCAGGGGTGGATGAGATCCGCCCAGAGTTCCTTAAGGCTCTGGATGTCGTAGGGTTGTGTTGGCTGACGCGGCTCTGCAATATCTCGTGGACATCGGGGGCAGTTTCACTGGATTGGCAGGCTGGGGTGGTAGTCCCCCCATTTAAAAAGGGGGACCGCAAAGTGTGTTTCAACTACAGGGGGATCACACTCCTGAGCCTTCCTGGTGAGGTCTATTCCAGGGCTCTGGACAGGAGGGTCCATCGGATTGTGGAACCTCAGATTCAGGAGGAACAATGTGGTTTTCGTCCTGGCTGTGGAACACTGGACCAGCTCTATACCCTTAGGGGGATCCTGGAGGGTGAGTGGGATTTCGCCCAACCAATCTACATGTGTTTTGTGGATTTGGAGAAGGCGTTCGACCACCGCCTTGGGGGAAGGGAGTGGGGGGCAGGTTAGGTCCCTGTATGACCGGTGTCAGATCTTGGTCCACATTGCCGGCAGTAAGTCGAACTCCTTTCCAGTGAGAGTTGGGACTCCACCAGGCTGCCCTTTATCACTGATTCTGTTCATAACTTTTATGGACAGGATTTCTTGGTGCAACCAAGATGTTGAGGGGATCCATTTTGGTGGCCTGAGAATCGGGTCTCTGCTTTTTGCGGATGATGTGGTCCTGTTGACTTCATCAGAACGTGATCTCCAGCTTTCACTGGAGCGGTTCGCAGCCGTGTGTGAAGCAGCTAGGATGAGACTCACTCCTCTGAATCTGAGACCATGGTCTTGAATTGGAAAAGGGTAGCTGGGTTCTCCTTTAGTTAGGGTGAGAAGCTTGGTCATCCAGGAGGGGCTCAGAGTAGACCCACTGCTTCTCCACGTTGAGAGGATCTAGTTGAGGTGGCTCGGGCATCTGGTCAGGATGCCTCCTGAGCGCCTCCCTAGTATGTTTTTCCGGGCAGGTCCAACTGGGAGGAGACCCAAGGGAAGACCCAGGACACGCTGGAGGGACTACGTCTCTCAGCTGGCCAGGGAACGCTTTGGGATTCCCCCGGAGGCACTGGCCCAAGTAGCTGGGGAGAGGGAAGCCTAGACCTCTTGGCTTAAGCTGCTGGCCCTGTGACCTAGCTTTGGACAAGCGGTTGAATATGGACTCTGCTGTACAAAACTCAGAAATCAGTATTGGCAATAAAACCAGAACCTGTGCATTTGTAACAAATATTTTGTTACTAGAAACGCTAGAATTAGTTGATGCAGTTCATTCAAAAGGCTGAGATGCCATCAGACTGTTCAGAATGTGAGGGTCAGAGCAGCTCCAAACAAAACACATGTTGAGCACACATAACTCAGCTGCTCTAGCTTTAGTAGCAGGACAGTCAAACATTTTGGTCCTACACAGCTGTGCTGATGTTACATCTTCATCATGGACCTCACATCTCATGAAGCTGAGCATACTCTTACCTTGAACAGCCCAGTCCCCTGGCAGAGACGTTCGGTGTTCCGACACTTTGGGCAGGACGTGAATACTCCCAGAGATCGTCTCTGATGCTTTCCTGGCTAAAGCAAAGATGGGAGCCTGCCATCGCCCGTCGCTTCCACTTCTCACTGTGTTGCTGCTGCTATTAGCTTTATCAGCAGAGCCACTTTTCTCCTCCTGCAGCCTCAGAATGCCGAACACCTGAGCTTTGTCCTTGTTGCCATCTGCCTCAGACAGTGCCAGGTCGTGCTCTGCAGCCGATGCCATAATCAAGCGCGCCTGGTACTCCTGGAGCTAGCCGCGCTCCCCGGCGAGGAAAACACTATTTACGCGGTGTGCTAACGGTTAGCTTGCTAGCTTTAAAGCACAATTTACAGACTAAACATAGCATAAAATCCCCTACGTTGACACCACCGGTCAAAAGATGAGTGATTTAACAACAAAGAAGGAAAGATTAGACTCCCCGCGTCGCAGCGAAATTGTTAACATGCGTAAGTATCTCTACATAATGAACGTTACGACCAAATGCGACCGCAAAAATAACGTATTCTCGGAGATTTCGCCTTTTCCGTACATCGTGGCAGTGTACAGATTTGTTTACAGGCAGCAACCCCAGCCAGTCGACAGTTGACGTCTCCACAGTCCCGCTGCTGCACCCGCTGCACCCTCCGGAGGGGCGGCGTCAGAAGACCCACAGGACACAAAGGCAGCTACGTAATGGTTTAACAGGCCACTGCGTGGCTGTCTGCTGCCTCCTACTGGTGGAGGAGAGATCTGCAGGGCGGAGTGCCCACCGAGGTGGCTGAAACAGCAAAAAATATCAAAATATTCACTGGAAACCATGAAACTAAAATGCTTCTGCGTTTCAATTTAATGAAATCTCCCGTAAAAATAATTCGGTATACACTAGACAGCAGAATATTTATTTTTGACAAAAACAACTGTAATTTTACAATGAGACAATATAAATTTGTTGTTGTTTCTGCATTTTTTTTCACATGGGTCATGAAGAAAACTGATCTGTGAGGTAAAAAGTGGCGGAGTACTGGTTTAGAATCTAAATTTGAAATAAATCAATTCTCATTTAAATAGTGGATGGCATCCTCAGTTTTTTTCACATAGGTTTGTCTATTTAAGGAATTTGAATTCCTATATTTCTATTAAACAAACATGCTACAATTTATAGCTGCATCTAAACATCTTATTCTTATCCACTTCACCAATCACTTTATGTTTGATGCAGTTCAGGGGAGATCACCAGTCCACACAATTTGCACAATTTTTTATAGTATATCCAAGAAGTCTGAAAATATCCAGACAACAGGCGCAAAAGCACCACCACCCCATATTTAGCAGGAGGAGAATCAGAGAAACTTGGAAGAATCTTCTCAAAATCCAACATCCCTGTCAAGGTTTCCCCCAGAAAATGAGTTAAGACAGCTCACCTTTTGAGCACCTATAATACAGCTTAGAATCTTATTCCTACGCAGTTTCAGTCTAGGCCACACCTTCCTGCATCTAATCAACACGATTCCCTCACAATAGAGGCTCGTCAGGGGGTAGAGAGGAGGGGTATTCAGAGTAGTTTCTGCTCGCTAAACTCAATAAACAGCTGCAGCTCATCAGCTTGACTCCCATATTCCAGTCAGAACTGACAAAGTTCCTCGGATGAGAAGCAAAATGTCTTAAAGAAACCAAAAAATTCCCGTTTTCTTCACTTGAACCCTTTTGGGTTACTCTCAAGTTATTTGCTTTTGACTGTGGGTTGTTTCTTGTAAAGTTCATGGAAATACTAACCAGACTTAACTCAGTGATGCACTCAGTGATGTTATTCAAAAAATAAAAGCTTGTTTTTCAGATCATCATTACCTTGGCTGTAGGCTAATCGCTCCAGACTCTCACTGTGAGTGATGCCCCAGCGATGTAGACTCTGAGGGGAGTACATGGTGAGCAGGGCCCTGGTTTTCCCACAGTCTCGCTACAGCGTCTCTGAGGGTTTGACGTACTGTCAGCCTGTAAGGATGTATTGCTCTTTGAGGTGCTGTTCTGTTCCAGTTCAGTCCGGTTTGGTCACAAGCTCCAGATGGGGTCAATAGAGATGGTACTGCTACACAAACAATGAACAGTAAAGAAACAGAGGTTGGATGACAGCAAACTAGGGATGTAAGGAAATACGCTAAAATATCATATTTGATATTATGATACTGAATCAATATATAAACCAGTGTATGGATATTTTCATTGAGAATTTAAATGCAAACATTTAGAGTGCTTTTGTGTGTGCTGCAATTCAAACTCCGGCTGCTAGATGACAGCTGTTTTACTGCCTTCACTCGGATGCAACAAGGTCTCGTGATAACACTGGATGTAGCTTGAAAGAATCTGGGCTGAGTTTTCCAATGAAATTCAGTCTTAAAAATAGCAAATATCATCTGGTTTAGGTATACTAACACATTGTATCGTCTCCCCTGTATTGCGATATTTGTTGAATCTCCAGTCTTGGTAAATGGCCTGTATTTGATATAGCGCCTTCTAGAGTCCTGGAACCCCCCAAGGTGCTTCACAACACAATCAGTCATTCACCCATTCACACACACATTCACACCCTGGTGGGGATGAGCTACGATGTAGCCACAGCTGCCCTGGGGCGCACCAACAGAGGTGAGGCTGCCGAGGACTTGTGCCACCGGTTCCTCCGACCACCACCAGCAGGCAAGGGGGGTTAAGTGTCTTGCCCAAGGACACAACAACAGCAACAGACTGAATGAAGCTTGAACCTGCAACCTTCTGCTTGCGGGGCGAGCACTTAACTCCTGTGCCACCGTCTTACCAATACACACCCCTGCTATGGATTTAAACGTTGATGTAAAATAATTCTAATTTAAGAAGACACTGACAGGCGCACATTGGTCTGAAATACATCACTTTGAACTAGACACAAATTCTGACTCAATAAATGAACAAAATTTAACAAAAGGGACCAAAACTCTGATTGTATGAATTAGTGGATTATATTTAAAACAGCATTGATCAATAAATATCCATTTCCTGTTACGTATCCATTGAAACGCCTCTAACATGAACACACCCTTCAAGACGATTATGAACTAAGGAAAGTCCGATTGTCATGTTATTCAAAAATTACCATTGCCACTCACCACAAAGACAGATTTTGTAATTTTCTTCAGAAGTAATTTATCCAGACGGCTTCCATCCTGTTTGAGCAGCAGTGACTAAGCTCGCAGTTTCCCTTCCTGTTGTGTAGTTCTGCCTTTCTCTCCCTCTCTAATCACTTAAGCCTGACCAGGAGTCACATGACGAGTTCTGAGCACATCTGGGTCTGTTTCTGTACTGCCTGTTTTTATTTCCTGAAAGGCTACTTGTCGTTTGAGTCAAAAAGATGAACCAAAAACAGCTTCTGACTGAATTATCTACATAATCTATCCAGCTCAGTTCACCTGTCTGCTAAAAGCCTACAAGAGCAGCTTTGTTCTTTCCACAGATGATGCAAAAATTGTTTATATTTGTCTTCTAAAAATAACTTGATGAAAAATTGATGACAGACATCAATGTGTCATTATTATGGACTTTCTTTTTCAAATAAATATTATTCTGCTGCTTTAAAAAACATAGCAAATTAATTGCCCATAAGCTAATAATAGCCTTATGCATCACTTCATATTTAAATTATAATAAAAGTATCATTAAATCTTCTTCATCTCTGAACCACACCTAACAGCGTTGTTCTGACATATGACAGACCTGATGAACCTCCTGCATACGAGACAGCTAAACCAGCCAATCAGCACACTGCGCCAGATTCTACATCCACCAATAAGAGGTGAGATGCTGTTTCATTGTAGTGCCTGGCCTGTCACTGTGCAGCAATGCTGCACAAGTGTTGGCATTTGAAAAAATTTGGATGCGTTAATCTATTATAATTAGGATTTACACAAAACAAAGGGTGATTTTTATTTGGGGAAATTACATAAAACATCTTATAAACTAGAGAAATACAATTAGTTATTTTGTCATGTGTTAAGTTTGTAAACAACAACCCTGACAGCTTAATTTGTTACACCAACCAGCTCTAATCACTTAAACGTGCATGTTATTGCTGCTTCTCACCTCGGAATGAAGCACAGTCAAGCAGTTTGTCTGCAGTCTGTGCTTGTGGACTTTCAGGCAGCAGCTCTCTTTAAACTGGGCAAGATGAGCCCGCATGGGTCCAGTTGTAGCAGCTCCCAGGAGGAACACATCAGCAGCAAAGAGCAAACACCGATCATCGGTTTATTCCAGAGACAGAGCAATGCTGCAGCTTCACCAAGAGTTTCTGCATCTCAGAGGCAGTGCATGCTCTGGGGATGTCACCGACAAAAACCACAACCATCACCCCACGCAGCATCCAATGGAAGGAAAGCAGCAAGGCTCAGAGAGGGGAGGGGGTTTGGGAGTAACACGGCAAAGATGGTAGATATG